TAAACATGCACCAATTAAAATTATCTAATACCTTTGGGTATATAAATAATTTAATAGCACATATAAGTCACACACAATTATATTCATTAATTATGAGAACAACTAATCAACCTTTGGGCGATACATAAATGTCTTATAATAATGAATTTCAATATACCCATAAACAAACAAATATTTTATTTAGCATCCATTATTCTATGGGTAACTGAATTAAATCACCATTAATTTGGAATTAAATAAATATAAAATCTGGCCACTTTGGTGACTAACAAATTCATCATACAATTAATTCCAAGTAAATTCTCACTCTCCTTCACCACAAATTCCCGACCACTCCTTGTAGATACTACATTCAAGTGCCCCTTCGGGCTTTGCTCGGTGTTGGCTGAGAAAGAACCTTTTTGCTGCTCTGCTAGCTGCTTTGCTATTTGCCCCACTTGTATCTCCAGATTTTTAATTGAAGCATCAATGTTCTTTTGGTTGGACATAGACAATTGCATGAATTTTTGCAGTGTGTCTTCCAACTTGGTGGTTCTCTCATATAAAGATGGGTGTTGGTGTTGATGTGGAGGCTTGCTACTTGATGAAGCATTCATATCTTGTTTGTTTCCACCATAGTTATTTCTCCACCCCTGATTTGAATTTTGCAGATACGGGTGTTGAGAGAAATTTTGCCGCCCTTGCTTTCCCATATAATTCACTTCTTCACCTTGGGAATTAGATGATTCGGCACAATAACCATTAGGGTGGTCACCTCCACAAAAATCACACGATAAAACTTGTTGCATAGGAGGGGCATTAGTTTGCATAGCTTGAAGTTGTTGAGGTAGCTTGGCCATCTATTGATTCAAAGCTTCAATTTGTTGGGAGAGTATCTTGTTTTGAGCTAACATTGCATCTTGAGTACTCAACTCCAAAACTCCCCTCTTGTGTGAAGAGCTTCTACCATGTTGGTGTAACACCCCAGTTTTTATTTCACTTTTTAATTATTTATTTTAATTAAGGGTATTTTGGTAATTTTATAAAAGAGATAGGGGTGATTTAGTAGCTTGGAACGGGCTGTTCCGGAATTGGAACGGGCCGTTCCAAACTACCAAATTGAATGTGAGTTAATAGCCCAGAACAGGCCGTTCTCAAGATGGAACGGGCCGTTCCGGACTATTAAATATGCCATTAACCCTAAATATGAATGGGCTTGGAACGAGGCGTTCCCAAAATTATGGTCGTTGGGTGTAATTAATGCACACTAGAACGGGCCGTTCTGGTTTTGGAACGGGCCGTTCTGGATGTGATTTTTAGCCATGGTTTAAGGGTCCAGAATGGGCCGTTCCAGATTTGGAACGGGCCGTTCCGGCGCATAATGCCTATATATAGTGTTGTTTGCCACTCCCAAAAAGCACACCTCTCATTTCTGATTTCTTTTCTTCTGCTCTCTCTCTACTTTCCTCTACTTTCTGCCTAAAGAGAATTTTTCCTACATATATCTACACTATATTAACAAAAACTGTTAGTATCTAAGTGGATAACTTATTCAAAAATGGAAAGACATCACTGCACATAGTGATAATTTCTTTTACCTACTTATTTGGCAATGCTTTTAAACTAGCTCTTCGTAAGTACTTAAAGTTTCTTATTACATGTTAACTAATACAAATGATTTTTTTTTCTTTTGATTTTGAGCATTCAAAAAATTTATTATTCATTTGCTTATGGTAAAATATTGCATAGCTATTCAGATAATTAATTTTGTGGGTTTTTAATACTTTTTAAAAAAGTATTTTCAAATGTTTGATATAAGCCACTCCCAAGATTTGCTATCTAGTTACAGTAAGGTTTGTTGTGCTCTATACTGCCATCTGAGATTAATTATGGTAAAGGAATCTTGGGAAATAAAAATTAAATTTGTTCATTGAGAAAGTAGAAGTATGCTGCATCAATGTAATGAATATCACCATACCATTGGTATCTTATATCTTTCTTGTACTTGCTCCAAACATGTTGTTGAGTCTCACTATTTGGAATCACTTCAACAGCTGTAAGTACGTCACCTTCAACTGCCTTTCCTGTCAGAGCAAGCATCTCCACATATGGAAGCTCTAGTGGACAACGAAGGAAAGAACAACTTTAAAATCTTGCAGGACAAAGGTGCTTCACTATTTAAAAATAAATACAATGTAACAGGCTTACACAAAAATGGGAGATGGTTACCTGGAAAAATAATGTTAGTTGGATCAGATAATATGGGTTCTCCCACAACTGAATCTGAACGAACGGGTGTATATCTGGCGGAAAGGATGAAAATGTTAATATATAGAATGAAATACAACTATAACTTAATTGTTTTCCCTGTTGAAATTATAGGGTTAGGGTGGGGAAGGAGGAAAAGAGACAAAGGAAGTCCCAATAATAAGATATTTAATGAATATGGTAAATAATGATGTGATACAATAATACAATCATCCTCTTTACACTAATAATTAGTTCAAACACCACTGTAACAATACTCGCACAGGCCCATCCCTGTGATAGAATGAGACTATTAACCCTAATTAAATTAAGAGTAACAAGTTAGGGAACTCCTAAAAACTGCTTCCTCCAACAATCAATCATCTAAAGCAACAAGGAATGAATGATGAAAAACCATTTCTTCTCTCAAACTTTCATGTTTAAGTTTAGAAAAACTAATATGATTAGCATGGCATTCAATACACTATCTTCATGGTCAAAAATAAAAGGCCAAAAGATAATATAGAATAATTACCCAAACAACAAACGATAATTGTAATCTGAATCAGTAACTTCGTAGATTTTAGAATTTGCCCCATTAATCAGTTCAATGGTCCCCTTGTTATTTTTTCTATACCAGCTAAAGAGACTTTCTCCTTCATGTCCACCAAAATATTCACCTTCTCCAGAATAAATTCCCGAGGACAACTCTTTCACATGTACATTAGAAACTACTGGAGGAGCTGCAAATTATTAAAGGAGTGAGAAAATAAAATGTGCTAAATACCACACATTAATTGTCAATAAGGGAAACAAAATGGCTAATAGAAATGAAAATTTAAAACATAATAAAGCTTATCACATGTGCAAATGATCACAAATTACAGTGGGCACACCCTACATCATATGTATAGGTGCTGAGCTGTACACATCACCCACAACAAAAATTTCAAACCATGAGATGGAAAGCTATCAAGTATCAACAGACAGTGAAGAATGAACTTCTTGCAAAGAACTGCAGAGATACCAGGGGAAACTGGGGTACTGCAAATTGCAATCAATGGCTCCCCACATTTGCCATCTGCACGAGTAGGCACCCAATACAAAGCCAAGTAAGCTCCAACATCTTTAAGTAATGGTTTATATGTTCTGCCATGACAAGGAAAATAATAACAAAATCATCAACTACAGTCTACAGATACATTTTCTCATAAAATACATGTGAACAACAAATCAGTACTTACGGCTCTGTCCCACATATTACAACATCAGAAGCATTAGATATATCTAGTAGTTCAGATCCTTCAAGTTTATGATTTGTCCGATACCAAATATACTCTCCAACCCCTTCATGTCCACCAAAATATTTTCTCAGAGGTATAAGTTCTATGTCTTCACAGCAGTCAGGAATTACAAGATCCATTCCCTTAGGATCCGCTGCATGCAGTAGATGGTAAATAAATTATATTAGAAATGCAAAACTATTTCATAAAACATTATAGAATTCAAAAAATCAAAATTATACCTCAAACAAACTGTTAAAAGAGAGAGAACCAAGAGGCAATATGAGAAACCACGTTATTTCAAAGAAGAAAATACTATATTTAAGGGGTGTGGGCTAGAAAGTAAAGGGCTGGGGCACAGAGACAATTGCTATATGTTTGATTTTAGATATGGTAATAGGAAAGCATAAAGGAAAGGACATAGTATAAGACAAAACTCAAACTTTCTTACTCAGGAAACTAGAGAACAACTTTTTGTCCTCTGCAAAACATTACCAAACAAAAAAAGAAAAGAATAACCAACACACTTGGTCACTATTTTAGCCCCCTATCGGATCAAAACTGCTGCACAACAGTTATATTAAAAAGGCTCCATGACAAGGATTGTTGTATGAGACAAAGATACAACCAAATTTATGGATACTGTCATGTTGATCAGGTAGGATATCCTATAGATCGACATTCTACTACTGGACATTTTATATTTCTTGGAGGAGCAAGAAACAAAATGTTATTACTTGATCCAATGCATAAGCTGAATATTGAGTTATGTCCTTGGTTACTTGTGAACTTGTATGGATTAAAAACTTTTTCTAAGAGAAAAAATTCTGTGAAGTTAATCCAATGAAATTGTATTGTGATAATCAGGTTGCCCTACATATTGCATCCAATCCAACGTTTATGAGAGAACTAAACATATAGAGGTTCACTGTCATTTTGATAGAGAAGTTGTCCCAGGAAATTATTACTAAATTTGCCAACTCCAATGAACAGCTTGCAGATGTTATGACTAAGCTGTTGAGGATTTTTTATGTTCCAAGCCTCACGAATACAATTTGTATGCTCTAGCTTGAAGGGGATTGATAGAATAGCTTGTCAAGAAAGCTTCTTAAATATTCGGATCAGTGGTGATAGACTGACTTTTCTCCCTAAACTTAAATCTCTTTTATTCAAGTAGGTATAAACCCACATTCTAAGACCAAAAGTCTCTTGTCTAAAATTGATGACAAAGATGTTTTAGTTTATATATGCCAAGGCAATTGGCATCTATAAAAACGTTATTAACAAATAAAATCAAGTAAACATGTTTGTTGGAAAGTCACCTCACTTGTGATAACCCCTAGCCTGCCATAGTTGCAGCCTCTTTGAGGGCTGCCTTAATTGCAGTCTCAAGGGCACTGTTTAGTCCAACATCAACTAAAGATATGGTTTAAATAAAGCTTATAAAACTTGGACAACTCTCACCATACAAACTAGTTTTGTAGAATTGAGTTACATCCTAAGCCCCCAAATTCTAAAATGGTATCAAAGCCTAAAATCCATTGTGCCAATTAAATAGTAGAAAACACAATACTTACAATGGAGGAGTACATAGAAAGAACATTTAACCAATACTTGCATAGATCTCAACACAAACAACAATGAACAAAAGGAATTTATTAACCAAGAGAAGAAGATAACCGAATTCAGAATTTGCTAACATTGTCGGTGAAAAATCTCCAAAGAAGGCTCTCCAAAAGTATGCTATAGTAGTTAGTACAATTAGTACTATAGATGCACTAAACCAATATTATCAATATAAGACTCTAGGGAGTCCAACAACACTCACAACCACATGTTTGCTTGGGATCATTCCCAACATAAACAGAACAATTACATTGGGCTTCATTTTTGCTAGTCTGTCATTCATTGTAGGCCTCACAATGCTAGAGAATTCCCTTGGGCTAGTGTAGGTGAAAGCATCACCTATAGTGCGCCTCCGGTTTGGATTTTCATTGTGAGCGTCACCTTCACCTTCCATAGTGAACTTAGGAATATCAGAGACAAAAACTTCAGGAATCTGAGTGGTTGGTTGGCCAACTGGATTTGCTCTAGTCCTCCTTCTCCTCCGGTTACTATTATTCCTCCTTACCGTGCGTTCAATCTCAGGATCGTTCAGCAGTGGCTCAGAAGAAGTAGTACCTCTGGTTTGAATAGTACCTTGCATACAAGAGAAAACAAAAGACTAGAGTGCACAAGTCAGCCCAAAGAATTCATTTGCTAAAATAGAAATTAACTATAAAAGTAAAGGAACAAGTCACAAATAGCTATAAATACTAAATTGCATTGCTAATCCCCGGCAACGGTGCCAAAAACTTGTTGAGATTTCCGTTGAACTACTTTTATTATCACTTTAAATCACTTTTGTTCTATCAACGATCTCAAACACGGCAAGTATACCGGCCGTTCAAGTAGTAAAATTATCGTATCCACAGGGATTAGTAGGTAAAATAAGTATTTATTGACTATTCGTGACTAAAGAATAATTCCAATTTTGTAGTTTGTCATGTAAATGTGAATTGAAGAGTATGACTATTGGACTGCTAACTATAAAAATATTGGTTTGTGTGTGGAAAAGGGGTAGAAATGGTATTATGATTTTGTGAAATTGTGGGGTTAGATATTACCAAACGTCACACTAATGAATCCTTAATCTCTTATTATATCCATTGCTTAGTCAACCCATAAGTTTACTCAAACCTAATCCCTTAGAGCAAGAGCCTAGGTGCGGATAATGAATATCAATTCCTTGAGTATCCACTACCTACACCCGTATTACAGGTTAGGGTTTAAGACTACTAATGGGCCAAGCTACATTCCTAGATACATTTCCCACTAGGCATTTGTTTCAGAGCTAGTTTCAAAGGTTATTTTCCAATACCCAATGGAACCTATATCATGCAAGGAGAATCAATCCAAAGCAAGCATTAAGAATAGAAACATACACAACAATGAATAAAACAACATGTATATATTGAAGAACCGAAGGAAAGACCCACACACAAACGGTCCCAAGCTCCGAGAATCCCTTCCTCAGCTTCTAAAATGCGTCCAATGTGCAAATGAGGTGAAAAGCCTCGAAGATTTCTTCAAATACGAGCTTGGGGAGTCAGATTAGGGTTTCACGCCCGGTGCATTAGTCTTTGGGCCCGGCACAGGGCCTTCCAGGGAAGTCAAGTACTCTCTGCCTCAAGACACGCCCGACGCAATTCCTTTTACGCCCGGCGCAATTCTTTCTAGTTCATTTGAAGCAAAATCTTTTTCTCTCTTTTTTTTTTTTTTTGCTTTAATTTCCTTTTTGCGTACCTCCTTTTCAAAATTTAAAATAATCTCCTATTTGAGTTGAGGAATGACATCTTTCTAGATTGGAAGAAGTTTGAGAAGATGTAGACTTTGCCTTCTGTGGAAAGGATGACGAGAGTCCAAAGTCTAGTAGGCCTCCTTAGTATAAGGGCACACGATTCTTTGTACTTTAGAATGTTCTCCTTTCTCAAAAATCTTTTCATACTATGTGCCTTCCATTTTCTAATGAATGTATATGCTAAACTAAAAGATGCATGATATTTGTTTTCTGCCTAAATTTTATCATTTTTTGTTACTAAGGTTATGATGCATGATTTTTGCTATATATTTATTTGTTTTTTTTTTAAATAAACTATCATATATGATGCTTTGAGGTTTAGGTATATAGAAGGGAGTTAAATTTTTTTATCATATATTTTTTTATTAATATCTATTTGTTTGTAATTCTTATCCGTTTGAAATAAATAAGCACAAACAAATACAACACACGTATGCTCAAACAAATATACACCCACGAACAGTCACGTTTAAATCCTTGGTCTGTGATCCCTGCAAGAAAAGTGCATTGTATATGACAGTTCTAATCTCACTAGTCTTAAGGCCCCCAAGGTGCCCCCATTATAGGGACCCAGTATCTCTGTCGCCGTCACCTGGCAAACTCTAAGATTTGTCGCAGTATTTCAGGCTAGAGTAACCGCTAAGTTGGAGATTGAACCACATTAGCTGTCTTGCTCGGAAAGCCATGCAAGAAATAACACATGTCTCGTGTATGTTCATCTCTCTGACAGTAGGTACAATGGAGGTTTCCTCTACCCCCTTTACCACGACCACGACCTTGACCACGCTCTCAACTTCCACGGTCAGCTGTACTAGAGATAAAAGCAGAGGACTCAAATTCTGTGAGGATTTGCCTCTGGTGAAGGGACCCGAATCAATCGATCTATGAGTTCTTCTACTATAGGAATGACAGGATTTGTCAAGATTTGATCTCGAACAAATCCATACTCTTTGTGGAGTCCTTGAAGGATAAACACCATAAACATATTATCAAGTTTGTTTAATATTTGTTGAGGATCATCACTAACCAACATTAGCTTGAGCTCATCAATAGTGGATTAAGCACGATTCAAATATGTTGGCAAATCATTATCAACCATACGAAGAGTTGCCAGACCATGAACCGACTCGTATATTCTTTGGATGTCATTGGCATAGACATTTCGAGCCTTCTTCCAAATATCATAGCATGTCTTGTACGGACGCAAATGCACCATTAATTTAGGCACAAGGGACTGCCACAATAGAGATACAAGTTGACAATCGGCCCGTTGCCATTCATCTCTCACCTCTTTATCAATTTCGGACGCCCTTTTAGTAAGATGATCATAGAGGCCCTGACCTAAAAACCACATTTCAACCATAGTGGACCAATCCAAATAATTTTTACCATTAAGCTTTTCAGATGTAATAGTAGGTGATCCCGAAAAGGCAAAGGAGACCAGCCCCCTTTTGGAAGATTCAATTTTTGGATTCTCCTTAGAAATCTCTGCCATGAAGAGAAAAAGAAGAAAAACAGCAAACAATCAGTCACGAAACTCCGAGGTAGCACCCAATCAACCACGGAACTCCGAGGTAGCAACCAAACCACCACGAAACCCCGAGGTAGCAACCAAACCACCCAGCAACCAAACAACCATGGAACTTCGAGACAGCAACCAAACGACCATGAAACTCCGAGGCCGCAACCAAACGACCACCAACAGACCACCTAGAGTGTGACCCACAACCTGAAAAGGGTCAAAACGGGAAGAGGGAGGGCTTGCGAGTCCAACGGAGTGAACCGCGTCGCAAACAGAGGCTGGGAGGGCGGCGCGTGAAGCCCACGCACCGGCGAGCTTCTTCAACAATAACCGCGCGTGAGAGCGCGTGAGATGGCAGCTGACGGTGGCTCGCGACAGGGAGGCCGATCGGCAACCTCTGAGTGTGCAGGCGGTGTCAACTCCGACAACCGCGAACAAAACTCGAAAACCCTAGAAACCCTAGATGTTGGCTGCTGGATTAGGGTTCCTGGACCAGAGTGCTCTGGTACCAACTTGAATATGAATAATTTCTTATTATTGAATCTGAATGAGTACAATAAAATAAATAGGCATAAAATATAATCAATCCCTAAAGTTTAGGGATTTAGATAAAACTGACTAAGGAAACTAAACTAGAACTTAGAAGATAAACTAGTATATCTAAACAGAATTATCTTAACAAATGTTAACAAAGTAGCTACTAAAATCATAATCTGTCCAATTTCACAAGCAAAACAATCTTACAAGGAGAAATCAGATCAGACACTATGCTCTTTGGGTTGCCTCTGATTCCATCTTTGCGTACAGGTGTATAGATTATTTCAATGCACGTACCAACATCCTCAAGAGTCAAATCCAAAAAGTCTGCTAGTCATAAAAATTAAGCATTTACTATTGCCATCACAAATAAATAACACTTGGCTGATAAAACAACAAACAAAAGTCACCATTGCTACTTAATTTCTCTCGTACACCATTGTCCTTTACCCTAAACCACTCATGGGTACAATCTCCTTGCTCTCTGAAAAGCAAGCAACAAAATTCCTTGTAAGGGTAAGTAACTAAGTGGATAAAATCAAAAGGACTAAAAGTGGAGAGACATGAAGTTATAAGCAATGGATAACAGAAGCCTGACCCCCCACTATACACAGCATTAAAGTTCAAGCGCTGCCCTTCTATCATTGATCCAACAAATTCCAGCAAACGACAAGTTGGGGGACCTAAATTTGCAAAGTAAAAATAGTTGTATCATTAAAATTGTCTAGCCCATAAAAAAAATTGTCTAATAAAACCTGTATGTCTTTATGAACAATATAAAGACTCAAGAGCTCCCCAAGAAAGTAAGAAATGCTTAGTACCAGGTATTATAGGCCCAATTTGTTCAGACAGAACCATGGGTCCACGAGCCCAATCCCTCCGGATAGGTTCAAATGAAACAGAAATAAAGGAGCCAATGTCATCAATTGTGGGCACATACGTTGCAGTGGTGGCACCCACAATTTCATTTTTTGAGCCATCAGAACCAGTCTGCATAAAGCCATATATGATGATCAACCAAATATTTAACTGACTAAAGACAGTAACGACAATAAAACAAATTATGGAGGAAAGTGCTATTTATTTTGCAATCATATGGCAAACACAAGGAAGTTTTTGTCTGTGGACATGCTTTATTAGTTTACAATAGTATAGATACCCTCTATGAAGTTCAGATCATATATATTAAGGCAGTTTCTAGACTACCAACATTGATGACTGTAAGAAAAGCTGTTTTTTGTTGTATCTATTTACCTTATGCAGGTGTACTAGACTGTTGACTCTTTTTTCCTGTGTCACTGTATGTAAATCTTGCTCAGATCAGCTTAACGTATATATATATATATATATATATACACACACACACAGATCTGCTGAGTGTGAAAAAACAATTAAGCACTTTTATCTTAGGGGGCATTTGATAGGAGAAAAGTTTTTTCATACTCAAAAATCATGATTCTTAGGAATTACAAATCTTGGGAATCATGATATCTAAGAATAACTAAAATCTATTTGATTACTCATACAAAGTTCCCGAGAATTAAAGACTTTCATGTTTTGTTACAATAGTATATTCCTAATTATACAATATTTTTTACAAAAATATTAGTTATTAAAATAAACTCATTATATATATTTATTTACTTAAATCTTATTACAAATATCACATTAAACTATTTTAAAAAGTTGAAAACTTATAGATAAAATTATTTAAATACAAAATTCAACAAAAGAAATAAACAAAGAAAAATGTTACATAATAAAAAAGGATAAAAATATATTATTTCATTTCATTCAAATAAAAAATAAATAAGTAAAAAGTGTTAACAAATACTATTAACCTGTAGAAACAAAATAGACTTTAATAATATTATTAAAATTGACAAAGTCAAGAAATAATGAGATACAAGAAAGAGAGAGAGAAATAGGAATATGGGAGGGAGCAAGAGAGGGAGAGGGAGAGGGTGAGACTAAGAGTGACAAAAAGAGAGATAGAGGGAGAAAGAGAAATAGAAGGTGAGAGAGAGGGAGAGTCAGAGTGAGAGAGAGGGAGAGGGAGAGGAAGAGAGGGGGAGTGACAGTGAGAGTGACAAAGAGGGATAAGGAGAGAGAGAGAGGGGAAGAGAAAGAGAGAGACAGATTTTGTTTTAAAAAGGGATACTATAATCTTTTTATAAACATAAAATTTTCTCCCAAACTCGAAAAACTTGGATTCCTACCCCCTTCATGGGAATGTTTTTGTAGGAAAGTAGAATAAAAATGGTTATTGGAAAACTATATTCCTGAGAATTTTTTTTTTTAAAATAGTTACCAAACAATGGAAACCAAGATTCCTGATTTAAGATTCCCAGGAAAATAAGAAACATTTCACATACCAAATGCCCCCCTAGTGTTTCAACTTTCAACAACCTAAACTTCTCAATCCTTGGATAGACAAGGTCCATCACCAATTGACTTGGGTACCTCAAAACACATTTCAAGTAATGGTTTTCTTTTCACCTCTATGTCTTCACCCAAATTCATCTAATTACCTTAGCAAATGGAACTAAGGTTGCTTCCAAAAGACTTGGTCAAGTCTCCCATTCTCCTTCCTTGGACTTGAAGTTTGTCCTATAATTCTTAAATGTCCTTTTAATCTACTTTTACTAAGTCAATTACCGAATCAATAAAATTGTTCTATAACATTTGATGTTGATTCTTTTATTATGCAAAAATGTGGTATAGGTTGACTAATTGGCGTAGGACATGAATCTAGAGGTCTCTACTACCCTCAAACAAGTCCTTCTACATCCTATGTTGTAGATTCATCTCTAAAGCTCCTTCATGATCACTTAGGTCACACATGTGCCAAAGTTGAAGAAAATTGTCCCTAGTTTAGACAAATTACAAATGTTAGATTCATGCAATTAGGCAAATATGTTTGGTCTTCTCTTCCAAAGAAAACTTAAACAAGTGGTAACTATCTTTTATACCATTCATTCAGGCATTTGAGAACCAAGTCATGTTACTTCTTTCGGGTTCAAATATTTTGTCACATTTATTGATGAATATCATCAATGTATTTGGGTATCTCTACTGAAAGATAGATTGGAGCTTTTGTTTACATTCATGTCCTTCAATGAAATCAAAAAAATAATTTGGGAAAATAATTAAAGTTTTTGAAGGGTCTATGCCAAATAATATTTTCTTCTAATGTATCTTTTTATCCTCTCAAGGCATCTTGCATCAATCCACATGTCCCTAGTGAAAAAACTTTCTAACAAAATTAAAGTTACAAAATGATTGGTAATTTAAAGTTTAATTAGAAACATAAACAAAAGTTCACTATAGTCAATATCAATAAATGTAAGACAATATGTTACTAGTTCAAACATTCACAAAGTAAAACATAAGACTAATCATTCCAAATTAAAACTTAAATTCACATCAAAGACTTAGACAACACAAAAAGTTGAGATTACAAGTACCCTAAGCCAACGGTAAATTGAATCTCCCTCTTCACCACCCCAATACTTTTTTTCAATTCTTAGAATTGTTCCTTCAATAGCACTTCCAACTATGTGTAAAGAAAACAATCTTGGGCTTCCTGATCATCAAGAAACAACTTCACTATATAAGAATCAAAATATATAGTAAATAAAGCATCACTAAATCATGTGACCAAAAAAGTAAAGCAATTCTTGTCTATTTCTGTTATCAATCATACAGTGTGGATGAGATCAATTAGCGAGATTGGAGAGATGGCTTGGTCTTATTTTTATTTACAATTTGCAGATAATAATTTACGATTAGAATGTATGCGGAGAAAACCATGTGACTAATAAGTCAGTACGAGATATATTTACACTGTCAATTACAAGTGAAATATTGCCTAGATAAGACATAATCACTAATCACATACGACTCAGTAACAGCTAATGCTACTCAAATTCATGTACTTATTTTAACCATTTTTTGCTTGACATTCTCCTTATGTGGGGAATAGTTCTAGTATTTGTTTGGAGGATAGATGATTGACACAATATAATCCACCATTTTGCTTTCTTTACAATCCAGTACCACTTTCTATCTTGCATACTGCCCTAATATCCTTTTATGAGATCCAAATGATTGTGAGATTCAAATTTTGTTTCCCGTTTTTTTATTTTATTCTTAGTTTTTTAATGCTTGTATTCGGATTTTAGATCATTCAGGATCCTTTTGCACTAATTTTTTTTTTTTGTTTCTTATTTATCACTCTTCATTACATTATACCGTAATAGCTTCTTTTTTCCATGTCTAAGCTACTTTGATGGTCAATGCTTTTGTTTGGACACTGGAATTTGATATAGTAGGATTAACTCTTTAGCGACTTGCACAAATAACAAACCAAGACACCATTTTCCCCAATTTTGGCATTGAGCTTCAAAATTCGTTAGAAATAATGTAAATAGGATAGTTAAGGGTTAATTACACTTTATACATGATTGTCCAGCTCACAAAGCTTAAGCAAGTTTATGAGTCAAGAGTCAAGGGTCAAAAAAAGGGCATAAAGGGACTACACAATCCAAGAGAGAGGGAACCTAGGATGTTGTCAAAGAAAAAGAGAATTGGCCATAGAGATGTTCATCAGTCCAGATCAACCCAACGAACCTGATGATCAGAACCAAACCAATTAAATTAGTTCAAGTTTTTTTTCCAATTTGGGTTTATCCCAAACCAAACCAATTGAAATTCAATGTTGATTGGTTCGAGTATCGGATTCATACTTATGAGACCCAAACTAACCAAGAACAAACCAACAATTTATGTATAATTATTTTTACTATTTTTTAATGATTAACATAGTAAATATGTAACTTTGAATAGTTGGACAATTAGGTGTATGTTGGTGGATTTGGCTTCTATTAGACAATTTGGTGTATCTCAACACTTTAGTTTGTGCCCGACATTTTGCTTAAATTTCATCCTAATATTATAGATGTAGTAGTATGATTGAATCAATTATTCGCGTATGTTTTTTATAATTTATGTTATTAATTAATTAGTGTAAGTCAATTACACTCAAATATGTAATTTACATTCTTTTATGACAAGATTATCTACCAATTTAGAGACAAAACCATATTACCTTTTTTTTCATTGGATATCCTATGACCCAAACCAACTAGTGTGACATCAGGTTGGTTTAGTTCAGGTTAGGCAAAAAAAGTTCAAAAATCCTAACCAACTACAATTAATTGGTTCAAATTTTATTTTACCCCAAATCTGAACCAACCCAACTCATGAACACCCTTATAATTGGGTATAGGACCCAACTCAACTCCACAAAACTAACTTATAAGAAGATAATTGCCCAAGCTTTATAAGCTCTATTTAATCATATTTCTAATCAACATGCAACCAAACACCACCCTTGATGATGCAATTAAGGCAGCCTCCAAAAGAGACCATAACTAAGGTAGGCTAGGGGTGACCATAATTAAGGTTGTTTTCCAACATTATTCAGTCATTTTATAGAATACTGGACCATTTCTACCACTAGTTAAAATGAATCAAGCTTCTCCCATAAGTTGAAATGAGCTTATGCATAAACTAAAACATAGAAACTCTCATTTAGTTTCTGCAAAATCTGATTTTTTCTTATCCATCAGTTAATTTTAACTTATATGAGAAACTTAATTACTTTACCTTTTTTTTTTCTCTTCAACAAGTGCTTATTAAAAAGTTTATCCAAATAGAGTCCAAGTGATGTTCCTTATTCATTGTAAATACTTTGTAGGTAGGTAGAAAGGAGCTACAAACCAGGTATCTTATTAGAAAGAATAACAAATTTCTACACTCAATACAATGCTTAACTTGCAGAACTGAGGTTCTCTCACAAAAGATAAGATGCAATCCCTCTCAACCCCTCTTCCTATCTATTTATATACAACTAATGGTCTGCTAACATACCCACACTCAATGGGCCTAAGCAGTTGCCTGCCCATTCCCCGTCATTCTAACATAATTGCTAACTGACCCTATCAAAAGGATAGAGAGCTTTCGCAGTATTTTCTTAAGCTATAGTTTGGTATATTTGAAAGGAGTATAATATCAGAATTTGTAGCAATAATAATCTCCCTCCATGTATTTTATGGAATAGACTTGTTTTCCTACAAATAAATATTTCAAGTTTTTCCTACATTAGACTTGCAAAAGGATTGTTCTTTACTTCAAACTTAGTATGTAGTTTCTTTGGTTTGTAACTTATGGAAGATTCTTGATCTGCATGTTTTGTATCTTTTACCAATAGGTACTTCTAACAACAAATATCTCTAGTACACGTCATCAATGTGAACACCGTTTTATATAATTCAAAGAATAACACCAAATTCATATTCATATTTTGCTGCATAGTCCCATAAATGTGTTACCAGGGCGAATGCGCTCCTGGCCCGTGCAAATTCTTAGTCCACCTACAACACCATCATCACGCACTGGAGTACACTGGAATGAGATGAATTTTCCAATGGCTTCTTTGGTAATACGATACTGCAGTCCTGAAACCCCTGGAATCAAAGAACCTGAATCACCCTCAACCTGCACAGAAAACCAGAAGACATTTAGAACATATTTATTTCTATTTAAAGGGCATTGTTACTAAAAAGATTTTTTTTCTACTTTTTTCCAGTAGGTCAAATCTACACCTACTTTCCAACCACTTTTACTTCAATTAAAAACCTCAGAAATCAATCAATTAGATTCTTTTCCATTAAATGCAACAAAATCTAGGGCCAAAATGAAGTAAAACACATGAGACAAACAAGTTTACCTAGACAGTATATTATGGGGCTTTCACTCAATCATGAGGAAAAAGTTGAACATCCATCCAGGAATTGTACACCCAGCATTCACTTGAATATGTGATTAATTACGAGTAAATATAGCTAACTTTACTTCACAAGTTATTAAGTAAATGAGCATGATTATATACAATTATCGATGAGGTTAATATTAACTACTTTTAAGGCACGATTAACTATTAACTACTATAAGTCATTTCAATAACCTCATGATATTATTAATCACTTGTGAGGCAAAGTTAGACATTTCAGTGGCCTGATGACACTATCAACCACATATCAATATTCAATAATCAATCATTGTATACAATCATGTTCATTTACTTTGAACTAATAGTAAGACAAGGTTAATCATATCTCCTAGGATTGTTGCTTAGAGAGAGCCTTCAAGACTAGTTTGTCATCTCTAGAAATCCTTATATGATCAAAACTAATCTCCTATGGAACAGATTGACAAGTTCAGCATCATGGTCCAACAAGTCGGCATACACAGCTAAGTTTACTATCTTCATATAGTTGTAAGCTGCATTTATTTGTTGTGTAGACATCTATGACAATTGTCATTACAAGTAGTAATCATCAAGACATTGCACTAGTAAACCCACTATCACCATATATTAAGAAATTTACATTTTTACTCAACGTGTCATATATTATTATTTTTTATCATTTTAAGATGACAACATTTTTTTTGTATGAGTTTAAAAAAAGTGTTGTTAATTCAAATAAATGAAGAAAAAGATTGTTATAAATCTTTAGTAAAAATTAACACAAAAAAGCAATGACAAAGTCAAACATTGTAGTATACACAGCAAAAATGGTAAGGCTGGTATAGTGAATAAAAATAGAATTCATAGTTGATAATTATATTTAGGTCAAAAGTCAAATCAGGGACAGTCCTTAGCCAATTATCGTTGGGCTGTGGTGCTTATTTTGTAAAGTGCACCATGCATACATGAGCAAGAATTTACATTGTTCCTAAGGATTAAACTCCCATAACATTAATTAAGTAAACTAGACATAGTTGATAAGGAATATTGATGTAAGTACATACCTCATGAATATACCAACGGTATATACTTTTTCCTTCATGACCTCCAACATATCCATACGATGCTGTCAAAATTCCATCTTCACTGTAATCCCCAATGATAGATAAGAAATTCAAGCTTGGGGGAAGAGCTGCAAGAAAACACAAAGGTTTATGATAGATGTTGATTTGAGAAGAAATAACTGAAATTTGAGGGAAAATTCAATTTATATAGATTGTGAGATTTATGTCAACAAAATTAGGCAAATTATTTATCATTAATTGTGCAGATTTGTTGGTCCTATAAACCAGCATATCTTGCATAATTGTATAGCTGTAATTATACTAGTAATTAGTTAGTCAAACTGTAGGTTAACAGTTAAGCAAGATTTAAGGCTACATATCAGATTGTATCAATACTATTTAAATGAGAATTCTCCAAAGGAGAGCAGACAGTTTTACGCACACATTTTATATGTTTAAGATTACATTCTTATTACCAAAGGGATTTATATTCAATTTATATTCTGAACAGAACAACATAGGGAAGTGAAAAGAAACAAGTACACCTACTCTCAACTGCTTTATCAGATATTACAAATGCTGGTTCACCAGAATCACCATCAGGAGTCATGGGTGTAAATTTTGCCACAATGTAATAGCCAACAGCTCCAAGAGGTATGCGGAATGCCTGAATAGGTAAAAACCCAACAAAACAATTGAAAACAGATGAAAGAGGGGGCAATGATGCCCTGTAAAAATCATTAAGTAACTATACAATCCCCCCAACAGGATTAAAAAAAAAATAATAATAATAATAATAATAAAAACCTACTTTAGCAATTTTGGAAGTACTTAATGCTTCAAGACTGTTTTCATCAAAAGTTGACGAACATGTTTTATACCACTGAACTCTGCTAGATCCTTCAGTTCCTCCGGTTACAATACCAGTTGCAGTGACCTTGCTATTCTCTCGTAGTTCACCAATTATTTTGACATTTATTACTTTAGGGGGTGCTGAAAATGAACAAGCGTCATAGCCATTCAAACTGACAGTATAAATCAACAGCATTTGAATTTTTTAAATCATCACCATGGAACATTTCTTGGTGTTACCAAAAGAATGGAAAATAACTGAACACGTAAGCAACACAGTATGCATACAATACATTTAGATAGAATTTAAAGTGTGAAAGATGGAAGTCTTCTTTTATAGGATGGAATCAGAAAATTCCATAAAGGGAGATATGGAATTGAGAACAAACAATATAAATCACAAAGAGCACAGAGAAGAGAAAAATACAGACAAATCCCTTATAATAGAAGGATTAAGCATATCAATACTCTGAGATCAAAGCAAGATGAATAACTCAAACTCTCCCAGTGGCTTGAAATATAATGTAGAGTCTCAGGATGGTTTTATAAATTCAATACACCCCTTCATGTGAGAGTTGTTTGTGCTTGATATGTTAATGTTGACTCAATCTTAAATATCAACAAGGATCAAACTCCTGACAACTGTAGACAAGCTTTCATACAATGTCAAAGGTCAATTCTCTTTAAAGCTTTGGTTGTTTGGTGGAGGCCTAGGAATGGGCTTATACCTCTAAGAATGAGAAATTCGTACGTGACAAAAACAAATACCATTCAAAGATTATAATGATAAAAATATGCCGGTGCCACATACAAAAAAATGGCACCAGATACTAGTAAAATATTATATAATGGAACTGACAGAAAACAGAACCAAAGAACAGAAGATATTGCTAATACTCATCAAGGTACCTTGTTTCACAACAGGAGACATTACTGACATAGATTTTCCTTCCTGACCTGAAAGATACAAATGAATATATTATAGAAACAAGTCACAAGTATTTGGAAAAGATACACTGATGGAAGTCTGGATGCTAAACCTTCAAAATTAATGGGAATGTAGACAAAAGCCAAACAACAACCAACATCCTCTTTGGTCAAGGTATACTCAGATGTACCTGCTGACACTAACAAAAAGCTTCTGCATAGATTTTCCACAATGAAACAAGAGTAAAGAGCTTAGTAAAGTGCAATGAGGGATGAAAAAAAATAAAATTTTAAACAAAACAAAAGCAGGAAGCATCCCCAAAGCACTGTAAAAAATGCAATTCTAATTTGCAAAAGCACAAATCAAAAGTCTAGAATAAAGGAATTTATATTTTAACTTGATGCTTCCATGCCCTTTAGTAAAGTGCAAAAAAGAGAATACAGAAGAATCCCTGTTCTCCCGTAACCATTCAAACTTGCTGGGGCCCTCCCTTCCACCAAAATAATCCCCAACTCCTTTGACGGTACTTCCCTCAACAGCCTCTCCAACTATTTTAACATTACTGACAGAAGGAGGAGCTGCCATATGATAAAAATAGACAATCAGAGAACAGTTAGACAGTAGCATAAAATTGAGTGGTTCAAGAATACTGGTGCCTCCATGATCCCACTTCTTCAATTTTGAATCATTGCAACTTTATAACCTCACTGTCATATAATTAATCCCGTGTTGACAACATCAACCTCCAAATTCAGTTGCTTCGATCATAATGAGACATTAACACATCAAATATATGTGTATCTTTGTTCAGCTATAAATTTCCAAGATTTCAAAAGGCAACACATGAAAAGAGTGTTCAGAACCATAATTAATAAACTAATTAAAGGAGTTCTGTAGAAAATACCCAAATTTCCCAACCAAAACATCAGCAATCTCAGGTGAGCAAATTTTACAAAATATACATGCTGAAGCAAATAACCAAAAAACTAGATGATGTGATAAAATAACAAACAACATATCTCAGAAACAATAAACTAAAGGCCTAAATGGACATTAAATCCCTTATGTTTGGACTATGAGCAATTGGATGGAAACCAATGCCAAAAGGGGAGTAGTGTCACTAGTGCAGCTAGTGAAAGTGTGTGGAAAAACAAATAGGAGGGGAAACAAAGATTGCAGCAGCCAAATTTGGTGCACATCCAATAGCAAGGAAGGATTCACAGTACAGAAACCTTTGGAGAAGAAAACAATACATAATTAGGAGGGTAAACATAGATTCCAATAGCCAAATTGAGAGCAAATCCAAAAATAAAGAGTTACAATACAAAGACCACTGGAGAAGAAAACAATAGGATTGGAACTCAGCAATGGAAATGGAAATCGAATCAGGTCAAGTTGGATGGAACCACTATGACACCACACTAAAACATAGTACTAGGCAGAACTTGTGTGCCACTATCTCTTATCCATAAGAGCATCTCCAATAGTGCACTTAAAGTAAAGGTTCTTAACTCAATCTTAGTGAACCTACCATGCCACATCAGATTTAAGAACTTTAACAATGTTGGGGTACAAACAAAGTCTTGTATCGTTGGATCGTGAAGAGATATAAAGGTTTATAAAACATTCATAGTCTTCATTGATATTAAGCTTTTTGTGAGAAGAACAAATGTAAAACCGTAAGAATTTAGACTCAAAGTAGATAATATCATACCAATGTTAAAACGTGTGTGTGAACCCCTGGTACCTAATAGTGGTATCAGAGTATGATTTGACTAGGTGACCAGCTTTGACAAGTATTAAGCAATAGAATTGGTTATCAACACAGAGTGAATTGATGTAGAATCCAAAAGTGGGATCATCCCTTGTATCAAAAATCTCCCTAGAGGTGTGGAGAGCATATCATGTTGAAGGGCAACGACGGTCCAAGTAGGCCACCATTGAATACTCATGGGCAAAAAAGACTTTCACTTGAAAGAGAGTCATACCATGTGAAAGAGACTCGCACTTGAGGAAGAGTGTTGGAAAGTTCAAGTGTGAATAGAGTCTCACATTGGTTAAAGTTGGGCATGTTAAGTAGTATATAAGTGAGAAAGACTCACCTACCTAATGTATTAAGGTTTTGGGTTATAATGAGGTGTCAAACTCACTTGTGTGGTTTACTCACTACCTATTAGTGAAGTTTCCCCAGTGTTCAACTCCCTAATAGACTCTTGGATCTCAAGTCAATTCCATTGTTTGATAGGGAATCTCACTCTTGGATTCACCTGCCAATTCTATTGGCCAAAAGGGTTATTAAATAGCTCTAAGAACTTAAATAGGTCTCATATATTATCTCACAAAATGTTTTCTTAATCATAAAAATCAGTTGCTTATATAAAAGTCAGTTATTACAACAAAAAGCCATGTCAGCCTCCTCTAATGGTAATCTTGAGTAAGAACCAATTAGTACACTTAAGAACCTGACAGGAACTGTCATTTGAGATGCACTGGTGTAATAAAAATTGAACCAATCGAGGAAGTAAATTAACAAATCAATGGCAAACTCAAAGTTGTTAACAATAAGATATCATAATTATCATTGACCATATACTAACAAGTAACGAGAGCTAGATTAGTATTTTGGCAAAGGCTATCAAGCATATTTCAAACATAGGTACAAGAAAAGTAAAGAACATAAATATGGACAAAATTCAATCCTTACCAGCTTTTACAAAATCTGTATATTTGTATTGAGGTTCTCCTTTGGCACCTTCTTCTGTTACTGGTGTGTACATGAAAACTAAACTTGAATCAACATCATCAATAGCTAGTTGATACTCTTCATCTTCTGCCCCAACGATGACCACAGGGCTGCTGTTCCACTTTCTCCGTAACCAACTAAAACAAGAAACAAAACAAGAATAATGGAATAGCTGCATCACACCATTTTTATAACAAAAAATATTTTGTACATAGTCTAATGCTATACATATGATATACAAACAGACACATACAAAATACACGGAATGTCATCTCACCTAGCAACACCTTTTCCTGGTGTTCCACCACACCATGCAACCTTAGCACAACCCCTGATGATACTTCCTTCTTTCAGTTCCCCGTGCACTTCAAGGTTTACAACCTTTGGGATTCCATTCCCTGGAGAAGTAGAATGAAAAATTATTAATGATGCATGAAGAATGAACATATTAAGAGATTATTAAAAGAACAGGACATTGACATGAAAACCAGAAATTAGACAGTTCCTTGTTCTCTGGCCAGTAAATAAGAAAGACAGACCAATCAACAATAATTCAATGAACTTCGAACAGTGTATACAGCATACAAAATTAGACAGGCAATATTTTCTTTGCATTTAATGAAGGGGATATTAATTAGGATATCACACAATCAATACAAACAAAATGTATAAAATGGAGAAAGGCATGGGGGATTATTTGTGATTGCAAAGTGCCTATTATTAGCTAGTAGGCTACTACGCTCAAAGGCAAGTTGCATTGTATAGCTATACATTTGTTCGTACTCTATGGTAGTGAATGTTGGGTTTTAAAGGGACAATACAAGTAAAAGGTGAAAGTAGCAAAAATGGGTGTGTTAAAATGAATGTGTAGACACAAGAAAGAACAAGTTTTATTGTATAGATATACATTTGGCAATACTCTGGTAGTGAATGTTAGATTTTAAAGTCAACAAGGATGCTTCAAAACATATTTGGAAAATACATACAAATAATTACATAAAAAGAATATGCATGATTCAGTTTCAAACAACAATAAGCAGACAGGAATATGAAGAAGCCTACCTCGTGAAACACGGGAAGAAATGGCAAATATAGGAGGATAATCCATTTCTCCTAAAGTGGGAGTGCATTCCACTTTCAGAACTTTTCCAATGTCACCATGCTTTGGCCAGTAAATCTAAAAATCATATAAATATCATGAACACAAATAACATGCACAAATATACAAAAACAAATATACTAATCAGTGATGATGATGTAATCAACACATTACCTCGTTGGTAGCATCTGCAATGGGGACAAAATTAGAAAGTGATATATCACCACAAAACCATTGATATTTTAAAACTAATGGTGGGTCTGTACTAGCTGCACCATCATGAACAACTGTGAAATGACAACAACACACATCCTCTTCCACAGGTTTATCTATGAAGGCTTCTTTGAGAAAAAAACCCGGAGGAATACAATCCTTCCATTTCTCAACTAAAAAACGGAAAGTTGAATCTGCAGCTTGCTCAGGGCGACTGAACTCCCAACCATCTCTAATGCACAAAGCTGTATGTGCAGGATAACGCTTTGCTAGTGTCACTTCCTCACGAGAGAGATCTGCAAAACTTTTCATATTCAATAAATAAACTATCTTAATACATCATATAAGAGTTCAAAGATGCCAACAGAAATCACTTAAAGAAAAAACATATGGCAGTAACTCCTTAACCTATTGTAAGAATTATGTGTCATCAGTCCAAACAAAAAATAAATATACCAAAAGCTAAGAATAACTTTATCACTCATACCTCTATCATTGTATTTTTTCAAAGTAGGTCCAACTAGCAATACTGAGGCTGCTTCCAAATGAGGCATCTTAAGTATAGGATTTTCCTCCACTCGCAAATGCTACAGTAAAGTAAAAATCATTGAATGTAACATCAACCAGTCTGCATTCATGTATGCACCCCACACATGCAAATATATTATTAACTTAAGTTACTTGAAATTGGACTTTTAGGTTTTATTATTATGCTCATCCAATTTTTAAACTAGTACCTTGTTGGAAAGTCACCTTACTTGCAGTTGGAATTATTTTTATTCTTATAAGTGGGAAGATATTTTATATTATTTATTTATTTATTTATTTTAATGGGAAAAGAGAAATTGGTCGGATTGGCCTGATCCAATGAATTTTAAGAAAGGAGTCAGGCAAAGTTAACCCTATCAGCCTCATTTTGCATTGTAAAGGGTTAGGAGAAAAAAGGGAGAGAAGGAAGAAGCTCTGAGGAGAAATGTTCAAAATTGTCTCAAGCTGCACCAAGATTGTTCTGATCATCACAACAAGGTACGGGGAGGGAATGAGTGATTCATGTGTGGGATTGCAAGAGAGAATGGATAGTGGGAGAAATCCCTAAATTCTTAAGATTTCCCAATTTCTATTTTGATGTTGCAATTGACGATTTAATTAGATTTTGTATTAATTTATGATCATGATTCTCGTATTGTTGTTAAAATTGAGGTTCTAATCGATAATTGAGTCCCCTTGGAATATCTTTGTGGGTTAGGTTTTATTAGGAATTTGGGTATTGTTAAATGAGATGCAAACTCATGAAATTGATGATGTATGTTGTGTTTTTGTGTGAAAATACGCATTTTGACCGATTGAATTAGTAAAAGAATGATTGTATGCTTGATCTAGAATTCATTAGTATGTACCCAGTAAGTTAAGGTTCTTGTAGATTGATGAGCATCCTTAATTATGTGAATTAATGAGTAATTGTGACATTTTACTTATGGATGTACCTTAGTATTGTTATAATAACTTTCTATGTGATTAACCAAATCAATTTTCGTTTATTGGATTAGAAAGTAGACACTTGGAGTTATAATTTAGACTCTAGAATCGTGTAAAAATGTTAAGAATTAATCGAGTTATAAGTTCAATCTCCATGCCAATGCGCGAGATATTAAGTTTTGCGTTGTTAGCCATGCGATGTGACCTTAACAACATTTTTGGGCTTCGTAATCTTCACAAAAGTTGTAACCTTAGATGTTATCTTTCCAATGGCATTGGAATCACTCAAAAAGGATGTGTATAACTCAAGTTATGGTCAAAATAGTGAATAGAGGTCAAGCTGTCAAGATTTATGGTGTCAGGCACGAATTCCTAGCGTCGAGCACAAGAGACCCAATACTCTTTGTGGCTCCTAAGCACCAGGCAAAATTATAAATTTGTTGGGCGTGAATTTGTGGTGTGATATATGTATTGATGTGTTTGAAGATGATTGTGAGTTGTATGATGTCCTTGATGACAATTGTATGAATAGATATAAATGATGTGTATTTGGCTAAGTATAATTGAGTAATAATGGTTTGTATTTGGATGAGTGATACGCAAATGTGGTTATATGCGACTCTATTGTTAATTGTGCATTAGCATGGATGAAAATGAGGAATGGATGATGTAACATGGCATGAGCATGGGTGCATGTTGCATACACATTTACCCTGGCCTGTGTGGTGATTAACAGGGGATGTATCATTTATACCCTAGCCTGTGTGGTAATTAACAAGGAATGCATTATTTATACCCTGGCGTGTGTGGTGATTAAGAAGGGATGCATTATTTGTACACCGACCTAAGTGGTGATTAACAATGTTACACCGGTCATTAGTGATGTAACAATGTGGCCATACGTGGTGGTGCCTGAGGAAATTGGTACAGTTCGCCCATTGTGCAACGCTCTAAGTTAATGCTTCTTAAGGGGTTGCATTGCATATGCATTGATTTGGGCATGAGTATGATGCCTAGTCGTAGTGTAATATGGTGGTGGTGATAGTAGTTGATGGATTTGAGAATTGATAATAAAAATTGTGATTGGCTAGTAGTGTAATTGTATATGGGCTAATTTTGTATTGGGTTGAATGCTTTCTTGTGTTTCATATATGAATGCTTATTTTTCTCATCCGTATACTTTGTGGTTTTGTTTTAGGTAATGATGATCATGACAAAAGTGGCACTCAAAGTGACGACAGTTAAAATTATGGATTGCTCTGATAGTTTAACATTGAGACAATGAGATTAGATTAGGAGTTTATAACTTATCTTGATTTACTATTTCTTCCTTGTTTAAATACAATTGTAAGCCTAATATTTTATAATTTTGTTTTGAATTGATTAGACATTAGAGACGGTGGATATGTGAACCTATTTTACCTGAGGATTTATTGAAATTATTTCTTTATGAATTGTATCACATGTTGGAGTAAAATGGGTGTCACAGCAGTCACCCCTAGGTCACCTTAGTTGCAGACTCTTGGGGCTACCTGAATTGCAGCCTCAAGGGTGATGGTTTAATCTTACACTGACTAGAAATATATAGCTTACATACAGCTTATAAAACTTGGGCAGTCCTCACATCCTCACCTTACAAACTAATTTTGTAAAATTAAATTATCGTCTAAGCCCAAATTCTAAGATACTATTAGAATCATGTAAATATAGTAACTATGTATAATAGGATTAATTAGATTGATTCTATATTTATGTAAACAGCCAAAAATAGGTAACTGAATATTCTGTAATTATGTATCTTTATTATAAATTCAATAGCTCCACTATGCTCTAAATACATAGAATTCATCCTATGCTTTCTTGTTCAACAGATACCAATATTGTGAAAGTTTCAAATTAGATTGCATAATTACCAAATGTTTCTAATTGCTCCCCCACATGACCAGTCTATCATATTGAATTTCTACATCATACAACTAAATTAATGGATACCTAACATCCAAGGCACAAATCCAATTAGAAACATTTTGGCAATTGTAAGAATCCAAAATAAATTATAAGTTTAATTTCAATACATTTTGGCAATTGTTTAGACACTCATAACTCTATTTCTGGATTCTGTTTTTTCATAGGACATTCTCTTATTGCCTGGAAGTCCAAGAAACAAAACACGATATCTTGCTCTTTAGCTGAGACTGAATATCTTGAACTGGCAGCAGCCATGCCAGCCACTAAGGAGCTTCAACGGCTTACTTGCTTTAGGAACTATGCCAGTCTCCTTTTCATGACTATTTTGTATTGTGATAGCCAAAGTGCATTGCACATAGCTGGCAATCCAATGTTCCATGAACGTACTAAGCACTTGGACATTGATTTTTCAAATAGTGCACTAAAAGAGTCAAGCTGGCTTAATGTGTTTATTGATCATCAGTTCAGCTTCTCAAGTTGCTGATATTTTCACCAAGGTTTCTAATCCACAGGTGTTTCAAAATTTGATTACCAAGCTTGGAATGGACCGTCCAGCTTGTGGGGGTATCAGGAAATAAAAACAGTGAGGCTGTGCATAAGGAAGTGTCAGATGGTGCTGGTTTAGATGATGATTCGGCTACTTAACTATAGTTAATAGGGGCAGTCTATTACAGGGTAAATTAACCATGCTGTGTTTAGTAGAGCTATACCAGCTTGCAATAGAAATTGCATTGTATTTTCAAGCAGTAGATTGATAATGGAAAAATAACACTCAATTTATATTTGACAGCTCAATATGTACTACTGCCTCACTGTTTTTATTTCCTGATATAATATATGCTTTGAAGAGATAACTAGACATCTCCCACAATGACAGATAATTTATCAGACTAACACAAAATGATGAACTATGTCAACAAGAAAGTCTACTAAAATAAAGTATGATGTCTGATCATTTACTTAGGTTGGGGCCAAATAAAAATAGCTTCATACTGACCTCAAGAACTGGTAAATATGGGAAACCCTTGAGAGTAGAAATTTTGTTTTTGCTGGCAGCTAAGACCTGCACCAAATGATTATATTCATACATAATTCAGATAAGCAAACGTATACACAAAAACACACAGAATATAGTCAATACTCCATAAACTGAACAACCTGTAGTCGAGGTTGGCTTGCCATAGTGAGAGATTTCAACTTATTCTGAGCTACTGAGAGGAACTGCAAAAATGAAGCATAACAAATACAAAAGTTTTGATGAACACTGAAGTTGAAGACCACAATAAGATTTAAATTAAAAATCAGAAAGATAGCAAGGTTTTTTAAGCTTGCCTCCAAATTAGGAAGCTGAGGGAGACTCGCCAATGATGTGATTTGATTTCCAGCAAGATAGAGTTGCTGCACACAAGTTAAGGATTTCACACCACTATTATTAAATAAGTATTCACATCTTTTAACTATCTTATCTCAGCCATAACAATAGCATCCACACATAAGAAATAAAATAAAATAAGAAGAGTGCTAACAGCACACTCTTACACACTCCTCAACACTCACTCACTTTTATTGGTTAAAATTTATTAAAAACTACAAAAATAGGAGAGAGAGAGAGAGAGAGAGAGAGAGAGAGAGAGAGAATCATTGAATAGAGTATGGGACCTATCAAATTTTGTGTTTTCCAATAAAATTAAACCAGTTAGAGAGAATGTGTTGAAAAGAGTGTGCTACTAGCATTTCTCATAAAATAAAATAAAGACAACATACCTGCAGTACTTTGCAATTCTCAAGAGGCTCAAATCCAGGCCCCTTAAAATCGTTAAAACTCAAATCAAGAACCTGACAGAGTAAATAGTTTAATTCGATCAGTCTGTAAATATTCTATTTGAAACTATTCAAACATAACACCCAAATGTAAATTATTATATTATATTATATAAAACCTTCACTCTCGTCAATATTTCTACTCCTTCCAATGTAGACAAGAGATTGTCTCGAAGATAAACAAACTGTCAATAAGAATCATAAGTTAAATGCCATGAGTTATGAAAATCCACAAAACAAAACAAACGAGGGTACAACAAAATACAACATGAAATTCTCTCCTTTACACCCAGCAGTGCTTGGAACAAACAATGGCAAACCAGAAATTTTCATTTTATGATGTTTAAGAACAAAACTAAAGCCTTTGACAGAAACAATAGCAGCTGAACCAACATACGCTCAGTTGTTCTAGTATTTCAAAGAGGGCAAACATTAGGGAAATTGAATGCCTAAACCTATCTAACCACTTAATATAATCATAGTTATCAATCTTAGATAACAGTGCACAACACCTGGCTCTGAAACACTAGCAGAAAGCAGATTAACTGCTGCTTTAAATATTATAGTTATATAATACAAACTAAATAATTTATGCTACACATAAAAACTCAAAAACACAAAAAATAAAGAAATTCATGATAAATAATAGGTCACAATTTATACATACAAACAATCACCACAAATCTAGGAGTAATAGGAACATGGTAATGAAGTCAGAAAACAGAAAGATGATGATGAAATTAATAAGGAAGGATCATGACAAAATAGACAAAAATTTGCAAAATGCAAACTGGGAAGTCTAAAGGATCAAGAAAAAATGGAACACAAGAAATAAAGTTTAGTGGCTATGCACTTCAGTGAAAAACTTCTACACTAACTACCAATCAGAAATCATAATTAGTATGACTTTTAAGATAGTTATTGTAAAAGTCAACAAACTTACCATACATAGTTTGTGATTGGATTACAATGTAATCACACTGTCAGTACACAGCCTATTTTCTTCAAGAAAATAGTTTAATGACCAAGAAACATAAGTATAAACACTTAACACCATCAACTAATCAAAAATCACTACTGGTAGGACTTTTAAGATAATTATTATAAAAATCACTAAACTCATTATGCATAATAGTTTGTAATTGGATGATAGTTAAACTTATTTTACTTTGTCAATGTACAACCTATATGCTTAAAGAAAAGTGTTTAATGGCCATATATTATAAATGAAAAAACTTTTACACTATCAAGTGTCAACCAATCAGAAATCATTGTTAGTATAAATTGGCTTACTAAATGTCAAGCACCCTATGAACGCCAATGTCAAACTTGGGCCAAGTCAAGGGAGCCCTTATCCTATCCTAAGAGATACAAAAGGTTAGTGAGAAAAATAAATTATGTCATTGTCACTAGACCAAATATTATTTTTCCTATCATTTTGGTAAGCCAATTCTTAACTCCTTGTGTCAATACCATTAGGACATGTTAATCAAAATCCTTACATACATGAAAGGAGCCCATGAAAAGCCATGTTGAATGAAGACAAAGGTCACACTTAGATAGTTGGCTACTCAGATGCTAACTAGGCAGACTCACCTAGTGACAGATAATCCACCTCAAGCTATTGTGTGCTGATTGGAAGTAACCTAATATCTTGGAAAAGCAAGAAGCAAACAGTTGTAGCAAAATCAAGTGCTGAAACAAAATACAGAGCCATAACTTGTAAGCTCATTTGGTTGAATCAACTTCTAAGAGAACTAAAAGTTGAAGAAGAGATGCAAATGACCCTAATATGTGACGAACAAACCACCTTACACATTGCATCCAATCTTGTCTTTCAAGAAAGGATCAAGCACATTGTGGCAGACTACACTTCATCAGAGAAAATATAGAAATCATCACTAAGTTCATCAACTTTAACAATAACTAGCAAATGCCTTCACTAAATCACTGAGGGACCCAAGAATTGTCTATATCTGTAACAAGTTATGTGCATATGATCTATATGCTCCAACTTGAAATAGTGTTGAAAATAAAATATTTAGGGAATATCTTATATTTTAAGAAAAACTAAATATTCCCTCATCATGCACATTTAATGTATTTCTTTTATATAAATAAACCTTCAAAGTAGAATTAAAAAACACAAATTTTGTCATACATCTCTATTTTTCTTTCCTCTCAATAAATGCCATAGCACATGAAAAGCTACTAATTTGGCCACTATTGAAAATCACTCCACTATTTGAATCACAAAGCAGCCCAAGCCCAAGGCCCAATCCGTCACTCTGTTAGAGCATGTTAATGACTGCTATGAATAAAATATAAGTTAAGCATTATAATGCAAACACTTCTTTCCTAAAGAGTTTGAGGGCATGTTTGAATAAACTTCTCTAAAATCACTTCTAGTAGAGAAAAATAAAAAAGAAAAATAAAGTAAATTTATTCATAAGCTAAAATTTACTTGTGCATACACTAATATATAGAAGCTTTCTCATATTAGCTTCTCTAAAATCATTTTTTAAACTTATACATAAACCATAAACTAATTTTAAATTTTTTTCTATTTTTTTTCCTATTTTTTCTCCTATAAGTACTTCTAGAGAAATTTATCCAAACAGACAATAAGAGTTGAACACATCTTTGACCCCAACACCTCCCTAACACCCCTATATAATAGGTGTCAAACACTTCTCATAAAGTGTCCACTTAAAAAATTATGTGACACAACATTTTAAAATCATTTAGAGTGGTCAGGCTTGAAATGTGACATAAAATATTAAATAAAAAATGTCTATCAATTTGTTTGTCTAAAGTTTGTTAATCACTATCATTAGATAAATATACAACAAAATACAAACCATGATCATTATTTTAGATCTTTTGGTGTGTCACTTATATTTAACATCATGTGATATGTGACACTAGACACAACATTTGATATATATTTATATTAGTGTCTCAATGCCCTATATTTGTTTACATTAGCCATGTCTATGTTGTGTTTGTGCTTCATAGTTAATACATGATGAAGCATCAAGAAAGTGGTGCAATTTACTCAGCTTTTCTTTTTTGCCAATGAATAGTTTGCCCTACTCTGTTTTCCAAAGCAGACAGCAGAGGGATCTCAAATCCAAAATATAAATAAGAGAAAAGGAAAATGGTCAAAAATAGTCTAAGCAACTAATAGTAATAGAGAGCATGTCCATGTCAATCTATTTAAATGCAGATGCTCATTTGTGATATAGGACTTAAATTAAATGTGACCATTACCTGGCATATATTAAATTTTATAAACACATTGCCACATACAACTTTGAACATATTCTCTAAATGAATAACGAGCAAAACATAAGATACATTTACCTCTAAGTTTGAGGATAAGTTTAATCCACTGGCATTGAGACTACGAACTCTATGTCCCCTAAGATCCAGTCTCTGATAAAGTATCAAGATGGGTCAGAAATTAGAATTAGATAATAATGTAAACTCCATCATAGTTGCTCAAGATAAAATACAAGTTTAGCTTCAAATAAACATAAGATACCCGCAACTCCCGCCACCCCAAAATGGAAGGGGGCAATAAAGTAGGGTGAGTCCATTTTATGCAACCTATACCACTCCAATACACCAAATGACCAAACATCAACTAGTATTACTTACTAAATAGTGAATAAAACATACGCCGGGTCACTTTCAAATTTCAACAAGCGTGATTGTGCCCGCTACTATAAATCCTATTCCCCCTACTCACATTCCAATAAATCATTGAACTATACAAATCCTTCTATTTCCGGCAATTATCACACTTCCACTGTTCCACACCTATGCAGCTATAATTCCCTCTCTCCCTCAATCATTCCACTTGCACAAGACAGTCAACAGTAGTGACTCACTAGTGAGATCCTAAACAGTGAACAAAAAGTGCTGCCATAATCTCAAACCTTACCAAATCATCATTGGCCTTAATCTCAATCTGCGGAAGAACAATAAACCTCGAATCCCTGCTATCAGGAGTCCCCCCTCTCCTCCTCCCAGACAGCGCAGAAGTCCTATCCTGCGACGTCGACAGAGACCCCGCCTTCAACCCGCTCGAAACCGTCGGCGACGAAACCCTCGAAACCGCCCTCCGACCAGAACCACCACTGCTCCCAGTGCTATCCACCGAAGAAGAACTAATCCTTCTCGAAACAGACAAAGCCGAAACCGAAGCCGACAATGCCGGCTTACTCACCGGCTTCTTCGCAACCTCCACCTTACTCCCACCGGCAGACCTCGAAGCCGAGCCCGCAGGAGAAGCCACAGCCGGCTTCGCCGCAGCACCGGCACGCGAAGAAGCTACAGAAATTCGCCGGAGCTCCGGGAGCGACCTCCGAGCAGGTTCCGCCGCCGACGATGCGCCGCTCTTAGCTCCGGCGGCAGAATCGCCGCCGGTTTTTCTTCTTCCATCGGAGATCGACGCCTTCTGAAGCAATCCTCCGGTGCTGTTCCGTCTCGGCGCAGAAACCGCACTCGCGGAACCGCCTATTGAACCCGATCTCCTCGTCGCCGCAACCGAACCAGTACCCGAACCGCTCCGCGGTTCAACTTTCCTCTTCGCGGAAACCGAGCCGCCAGGTTCCGCGGCGGTTTTCGCAGCTCTTCTAGAAACTTCTGGAATATTCTTACTCGAAGGACTCCGTAGCGTTTCCGGTGTCACCTCTTCGCCAGATTGCTCCGACGACACCTCCATTTAACTCGCACGAACTGAAAAACAAGAATAGAAAGTCTCAACTTAAGGAACTAAACTAAACCACTAAACGCAGCGCTTGAAGCGTTCTAGCTTGGATCTAAGTGCGAGGTGGCAAGAAAAGGTGAAGTGAGAAGCAGAATGTGAGTGAGTGAATAAAGAGTGGTTGCTTCACGAGCTATACCTAGAAAATGTAGAGATCTAGAAGTAGAAGAAGGTGAGTTAGAAGGAGAGTAACATTTTTTGAGTAGAGAGAAAAAGAGGGAGTGGGTGGTGGGTTGCAAAAAGCGAAAGGGGTGAGAGGGACAGAGGAGCTGGAACCAATAAACGTGAGTATAGAAATGGTGCAAAGGTGGAAAGTGACCCTTGTGGGGTAGGGTTCTTAAAATTTTCAAATAAAATTGTCGATAAGAACCGCGAATGAAAGGGCGCGGAAGAAGCGATTTGGGGCCGTGGAGCGTAATTTGGTCTTAAATTTAGCTCATAAAGTACTCTTTTTTGTCCCTCTCGACTTAGGTTGGCTTTGATTTTTTTGGTTCAATAATTTTCTTCGCTGTATTGGTTAAAGTTTGAATTTAATACAAGACTTAGTATTTGTAATAATGAAGACAAAACATTATCTGTCTTCTGTTAACTCTTTTTTAAGTGTCTTGATTTTTGGTGGAAATCGTGTGTGGCTTTCAAAATGTTACACGTGGACGATATTTTAATTTTAATGTATATAAAGTTATAACATGGTTAACATGGACCTTCCAAAAAAAAATTAATGAATGAAACTTAGTATATCTCTAAAATCAAGATTATAAATTATATTTGAAATATATAAATATATATACAATTTATTTCTAAAAAATTAAATATAATATTTGTTTTCGGAAAAAAGTATATTAAGAATTTAAGCCACTTTCGAGAAGTTTTCTGATTTTATATACGAAGATGTATCATTCAAAAAAATCTAAAATATTAGTACCAGCATTAGTGCAAGTAAACAAAAAAAAATGATAAAAAATTATTTTATTATCAAAACTAAACTTGAGATAAAAAAATATATATATATTCTTAATATGATTTTTATTGATGTCATCACATAAGATACTCTACTATTTTTCACATTTTATAATGAATTAAATAATGTAACATATAATTAAAGTTAATAGATTATTATTAGTAGAATTAATATTTGTATTTATCTTATAAAATAAGTATTTTTTAAAGTTAGATATAAATTTTTATATGGTTGTAAGTTGATTATATAAAATTTTATCTTTCTTTACAAAAAAAATATATATATGAAATTAATTTAACGGATACATTACTAATACAACGCTATACCACAAAATGATGGCATTCATATATGAAACTAGAAAAAACATCATATTTTAAATATTTGTGTTTTAGAGACATCTCAAGGTCGGTTGCATGTTGGCGCATGTTGGCGCATGTTGGCTCCGAGCAGGAATAAAGTGGAAATATTGTTTGTATCCAACATTCAACATTATGATTCAAGTGAAAAGTTAGATATAACTTGACCTTGATAAATGCGCCATAAAGTAACATTTGGGCATTATGAAGCAATAAAAGCTCTTGGATACATTTAGTGAGTTAGACATCATGGAGGTCCCTCCTCCAAGAGGATGGAAAAACTTAGGGCTAGACAAATATGATGGGACATCTAACTGTAATGATCATGTGAACCTATATGTATCTCAAGTTAGCAAGTTCACTAATGTGGATGCGATGATGTGCCATTTATTCTCTACCTTTTTAAAAGGTGCAACTTTGAGGTGGTTCACTTATTTACCTTCTTGGTTAGTGAGTTCCATCCAGCTACTCGTCTCCCAATTTACCACACAATTTGGTACTAGTTGCCCACATGTTATGACCTTAATGACCCTTGTCAGCATTAAACATTGAAAGGATGAATCTCTTAGGACTTTTATGTATAGGTCTAGAAAAGTAGCTTTTGAAATCTCTATCTAGTCAAAGAGGTCACTTTACATCATATGCTATTAGCCTTAAAGTTGGGTCCCTTCTTGGATACTCTATACAAAAAGTCGTCATTGTCCATGGAGGAACTCCAAAGAAAGGTCGTCAAGTATATGCAAATGGAAGAGCTTGTCAAGTTCCAAAAGTATTATAGGGAAGAACACAACAAAGGGAAAGCAAAATTCCAAGGAGATAAGAGAAAGTGTGACCAATCTCAAAGAAATCAAGAACATAAATAACTTCAATATTCTCATTACTGTTGAGCTTAGGAGAGCTTAAAGAGTTTTGATGATCACAAGTACTCTTCCCAAGCTGACCCAACTTAACTCAACTCAACACTCCGAAAACATTCACAGAATTGAAATAAACAACTCAAAACAATAATGTTACACTTATTCTACCATTTTAGTAGCAAAAAAATATCTCATTTTAGTTGCACATTAATTGTTATCATATTGCCCAAGATAATATTAATTATTATCAATTACTTATATAATATAATTAGTATTTTATCAACTAATGGGGTCTAAATTTATTGAGCAAAATGCATAAAATTTATATATCATTTCATACTAAATTTCATTCTCATTCAGATAAAAAAAAGTCTATATTTATTCCATTTGAATTTATAAAAATTGACAAACACAACTTTTTCAAAACATAAATGCCATTGTTGGCCAATTTCTACATCAAGTTCAACATATATATTTAGTGTTACCTAAAAGTCGGTTTCCATTTTGACAAGCTAATAAAAAATGGTGTGTATTTCAAAAGCCAAACCTATCCACACCAGACACACAGTCACCATTTATGTTATTTTACCTGCATATTCAGACAGATGTTGTCTCACTTAAAATAAAAGCCAAGGCTCGGAAAATGACAGCTTTCTTTGCTGAGTTGACGCTGACTCTCAATTTAATTATATCTAAAACACTTTAAAGAACATATAATCCAAAATAACAATCATATTAAGCTAAAATACTTTCCATTACATTGATTCCAGTAACACTTGAATTTAAAAAGCAAAAGAAAAAAGATATCTGATACATGTAAATTATAAAGATATCATCACATGTCAATGCCATACACTGCACAACTAATTATGTAAACCAAGCGTACAAGCCAATAAATGCGATTGCATAGTAGATAACAAATTTTAAGGGAAAGGGACAATAGGAGAAGATAGCAACATACAAGTGAATGTGCGTAATGATGAGATACAAAATGGGTACTGTGTTAAGTCCCCATCCGTTGAAAACACTAAACATGTGAAGGAAATCAAACAAAAGAGCAATAACCACGTTTCTGTTTATAACCCACAAACACAGCACAACACACCGCACTATTTCTGCTTACTTAATAACACTCGCTCCTCTTCATTCAAATTCAAACAAACAAGGCACATGAAACAACTTGTGTCAGTGTCATATTTACCTGCACTTGTCACAAATGGCCAAAACCAAAACATTTGTGCTTTTACCTCTCTCTGTTTTGATCCTTGCTCTGGCTACAAACCCTGTTAAATCTGAGCAACAAGAGCTATTCTTCAACGGGTTTGGTGACGGTTCCGCAAACATAACCTTAAACGGACAAGGTCTTCCACCAGCAGATCGGGCGGAACATGGAAGTCTACGTCGATGACATGGTGGTCAAGACCACCTCGGCCACCGACCATGCTACCGACCTCGTCGAGGTGTTCGCCTAGATCAGGAGACACAACATGCGTCTCAACCCAGAGAAGTGCGTCTTCGGCGTCCAGGGAGGCAAGTTCCTCGGCTTCATGATCACTATCAGAGGAATCGAGGCCAACCCTGAGAAGTGCAAAGCCATCATTCAAATGCAGAGTCCGCAAATGGTGAAAGAAGTCCCGCCCTTAAATGATAGTCAGCCTCAAATACTTAATGAAGCCATGAGTAGCGATTTGACAACTCCTATAAAATTCGTTCCTACTCCCCAAAAGGCTAATATAAGTAAATGTATCATCGCAATTTTGGTCATACTAGTGAAGAATGCACAACTTTGAAGGACAAAAGAGAATAATTGATTCATATTGGACATTTGGAAAAATATGTGAAGACTGAGAATAATAGTCGAGGACGAGACCAAAGGTACGAACATCGGGAAAAGAGCCAAAATCGTACACATTGAACCCAATCAAGTCTAAAGGCAAGTTGGCAAAAAGATCCCCCAAGTTTCCGACCTAGGGGAGTAATCAATACTATAGTCAAAGGATTTGTTGGAAGTGGGACAAGCAATTTGGCTAGAAAACAACATCTTCGTTTGGTTAAATCGGTAAAAAGTATAGTAAGCCAACCTCCTTTCAGGAGAATGTTGCTGATAACCTTTACAAATGAAGATTTTAAAGGTTTGGATCCCTATCAAGACGATCCAATGGTCATCATAGTGTAAATGGATAACTTTGCCATAATGAAAACCTTGGTAATGAAAATTCCTAAGTCGAGCATTAAACCTTATAACAATCAACTTGCTGGTTTCTCAAGGGTACGAGTTGATACTCGAGGGTATGTTGATTTTTAACTACTTTTAGTGGTAGAGAAAAAATGAAAAGGATGATTAACATGCATTTTATATTGGTCAACACTAGTACATCCTTCAACGTGCTACTTAGTCATCCTTCTTTGAATGAATTAGGAGTTATGGTCTCAACCTAGCATCTGGCCATGAAGTTTCCTTCATCAATAGGGAAAATCACGATGATGCATGTTGATCAAAAGATGGTCGGGGAGTGTTACGTTGCTAGTCTAAAGGTAACTCCTTTGGCAAGTTAGGGTCAAGCCGACCACCTTCCAACCTAGACATATCCATCCACCTTGTCGAATGCTTAGCATAAAATTAGTTTTGTGGAGCTAGATCCCTAAATTAATAATGAAATCCACATAAAACCAATGAAGGAAACAAAAAAATTTCAATTAAGAAGTAAGGAAGGGCAATGTACAAGCATTGGAACCTAATTTAACGATGTTGATAAAACGTCTTTAATTGACATTTTGAAGGCAAATACATAACTTTTTTGTATGGATAGCGTCTGATATGCCAAGTATTGATCCAATCTTTCATTGTCACCGGCTATCTATTTGTAAAAAATCTCGGTTGATATCTCAAAAAAAAAAGAAAAATGGAAGAAGAGAGACAAATGGCTGTAAAAGTTGAGGTAGCTAAACCATTAGTAGTCAAATTCATTTAGGGGGTCTAGTACACAACTTGGTTGGCCATTGTGGTTTTAGTCAAGAAGAATAATGGAAAGTGAAGGATGTGTGTTGATTATACAGGTATTAATAAGACCTGTCTTAAGGACACTTATCATTTACCTAGTATAGATTGATTGATGGATGGAGTTGTCAAACGTCAAGTAATAAGTTTCTTGGACGCCTACTCTAGATATAATAATATTCCTATGTATCCACCTGTTAAAGTAAAAAATTGGTTTTATTATTGAAGAACCCAACTTTTGTTAACATGTGATGTCATTTGGGTTGAAGAATGAAGGTATCACTTATCAAAGGTTGATGGATGAGGTGTTTCAAAAGCAAATTGGCAAAAATCTAGAAATGTATGTGGACGACATGGTAGTAAAATCTAAAAGTATGGTCGAGCATATGAATGACCTTACCAAGGTATTTCAAGAGGTAAGAAAGCATAATATGCAATTAAAGTCGAAAAAGTGCATGTTCAAGGTAAAGAGTAACAAGTTTCTCATATTTATGCCAAAAAGTCCAAGTAATGTGAAGGAGGTACAATGACTCACTAACTGGTTGGCGTCCCTGTAAAGGTTCTTACTATGTCCCACTTAAAAGATCAAGTCAGTGTCTACTTTGCTAAAATAAGAGAATTTTTTTGAATGGACCCCAAAATGTAAGGTTGTTTTAAAGGGACTAGAAGTGACCTTGTTGACACCACATATTTTGACAAAACCATAATCAAATCTGCTTCTTCTTCTTTATTTAGCAACTTTGGATGAATCTATCAGTGTCATTCTCACATAAGAAAAGCAAGGACAAGTTCTAATATATTATATAAGCCAGATTCTTCAAGGGGCCAAACAATAATATCAAAAGGTTGAGGTTTGGGCATTAGCCCTAATCATAGCAACATAGAGATTAAGGCCTTATTTCTTAAGTCACTAAGTAATTGCTAAAATGAACTACCCTGTTGCTAAAATTTTGAGGGAACCCTAGTTGGTTGGGCACATGATATCATGGTCATTTGAGTTGTTCAAGTTCGATCTTATTTATCAACCACGATGATCAATTCAAGCACAATGTTTAGCAAACTTTCTCACTAAGATGATTGGGAGACTGTAACAATATATTGGACATTATTAATTTGTAGATGGCTCATCTAATGAACAAGGTCGCGGGGCTAGAACACTCCTTGAAATATCCTTAATCTTTTTTAATTATTTAACATTTTAATTTTACATCTCCTACATAATTTAACATTTTTTTCTTCTTTTTTCACACACCTTTTTCCCTTCCCTTTCAGTTTTCATATGCACCCCTTATCCCACCTCCACCTATATAATATTTAGTTTTAATTTTTTTTTACATTACTCTTTTTCATCTCACCTTTTTTTGGTTTTCACATGCACTTAGTCTGTAAAACTGGTGCATCATGGCGTTGTAAGCACATGTGACTTCCTCAATAGTCCCAAAGGTGTTGAATTAGACGCATGTTTTTTTCTTAGAATACTTTCTCCACTTTTACACTTCAAAAAACCTTAACATTAAATTTAGTGTTTCAAGAAATACTTTTCAGAATATTAATGTCAATATTTGAAAAAACACTTTCCAGAATAGTAAAATTAGTGTTCCAAAAATATATTTCAAAAATATATTTTTATATATTTTTAAAAATTACTTTTTTTCAAAAGTGTATTATTTTACATGTTTCTAGAAAGTTCTTTCCAGATTAGTAAATTTAGTATTCTGAAAAATATTTTTCAAAAGTGTATTATTTAACATAATTTTGAAAAGTTATTCCTAGAATAGTAGATTTAGTATTCTGAAAAGTACTTTTCAAAAATATGTTAAAAACATAATTCCAAAAATTACTTTCTAGAACACTAACTTCACTATTACAAACAATACTTTTTAAAACACTAAAATTTCTAGACATGTAAATGGGAGTAAGAACTCGAAGAAAAAACGCATATTTAACTCAACACCTTTAACACCATCGAAAAAATCACACAAGCTTATAATGCTATTGTGCACCAATTCTACATCTCGAGTGCATATGAAAACTAAAAGAAAGGAGGGAGAGAGCAATAATGTGAAACCTGAAAATGGAGGAGAAAGAAAGTAATGTAAAAATAAAAAACATTAAAATTACTTATTCAAATAGGTGGAGAGTAGAGAGAAGATAAAGAAGTACATGTAAAAACTAAAAAGAGAAGGAAAGAAGGTGCTAGAGAAAGAAAGAGAAAGTGCTTAAATTGAATATTAGAAATGTAAAATTATAAATCTATAAATAAAAAAATAATTAAGGATAATGGAAACTTTTATTTTTTAAGAAAAAGGAAAAAAGGTGCATTTATACAAAACGGAGGTATATATATCAAGAGTCAAATATTTTTCTAATTAAAAATTATGTGTACAAGATGCAACTAAAACCAATGTTTAATATTGAGAAAATAAATTTGAAGTCCAACTCAATCTATAAAAAAAAAAAGATTATAAGGTAAAAATTGTTTTTTACCTATATACTATATTATGATCATACTACTAGTCAATATGAGATCTTCAATAATCTCTCACATTAAATTCTGAAAATTTTAGAATAATTTAATAATAGCCCAAAAGTGAATGACTCAATAAGTCCAACAAGAAAAATGTTAAAGAATATATTGCTAACATTTGCAAATAGTCCAATAATAGCCCAATAGTATTTGCAAATACTCAACATTTCCAAATAGTCCAATAATAATGCAATATTGAATGATCCAATAAATTTAACAAGAAAAGTGTTAGTGTGTTGCTAACACACCTAAAAAATACTAGCAACATTCTCACATCTATTCTTTTAAACACACTTTATCTAATTGACCAAATTTTATTAAAAAATACAAAAATTGATGAGACTCACTCTATTTAATAAGTCTCATGTTAAAAGAAGTGTGTTACTAGTATTCTTCAACCCAATACTTACTAGGGTAGTCTTTAATACCATTTTAAAGAAATAGATTTGATGTCTAACACTATAACTCAACATTATAAAACCAGTTTATAAAGTAAAAATTACACTTTATTTATATAATATATTTTGATCATACCACTAATGAGATCTCCAACAATTACATTAAATGGAAAGGAAAAATTATAATAAATGAAAGTGTATCGTGCTTAAATTTGATACCGGGTAAAAGATGTAACCAGAGTAATAATTAATGGGGAAAAGAGCATTTTAACCTAAATTGATTCTTATTTAACAAGATTGCGAACAGTAAATTTCATGTATAAACATAAGAACAATGGTACACGACACCAAAGGAAAAAGACCAAAATTTAATACAACTCAAAGCTGGTTGCTGTCAAGATTACTTACCAATCCGAGAATCAACAAACAAGTTAATATCAACGAAAAAATTCCGACCAAAAATTTCTGTGTAACCATTTGTCATTAATTAATTCTAAAATATTTGATTCGAAACACACTGCTGGGCATATCAAGCAAGAATTTCAACCTCTGCAATCTGTTAACCACCACATTACAAAGAAATGTCACTCTAGTGTGTAATTCTCAATATGTCTTGGTTGAATTGCAAGTAGGCCATGAAACAAACCTGGCAGATGCCACACCTTCCAGAAAATTGAAACTTCAGTCAAGGATAACTTCCTTTGGAAACAAGAAGGAGAAGATGGTGCTTCGCAACTAGCTACATCAAAATCTTGCTTGATTCTTCAGAGGTTGCAGGTTGCTACTTGCGAATGATGCTCATCAGGTACCCCGTTAAAATAATACTCATATTGGACAAGGATTCTTGAACAAAGCAGATAACATCCAACTCGTGAATTCTTAACAGTCATTCCTTGGCTCCAGAAGAACATAAATATCGCAGCATATATTCATTGGAGGAGCATGTATCTGCAAGATCCTGATGTATTCTAGTGATTGCCTTTTGCAAGGATTTTAATGATGGTAACAGATTTCTAGAGTTCTGCTGAATAGAATTTCCATGGGCTTTGCAGAGCTCCTGTCACATCAAAGATGAAAGATCATTTTATAAAACTACTATGATCTCGAGCAAAATTATGAAAAAATTAAATCTGAACAGGTAAAGAATACCTGACACCATCTAAGTATAAATTCCAAATGTGGGCAGTTTTCTAGAAGATCCGCAAGTGCCTCAACTAATCGCTGGATATATCTGTAAGGGATTGATGTGGCAACCGCTGGAATATCTGCTGGACTAACCGAAAATATACATTTTTTAATAAAAGAATCCTCATTCAGACGAAGGCTAAGAATCAAGGCTTTACTTGGTTGATTTTCATGAATAGCTTCTTCAACAGCCTGTTCAGCAATGCCAGCCGAAGTTACTAACGGTATCAGAAAGGAAACAGTGCAGTGAAACGAGAACATCATATACAGCTAGATGGAGTGAAATTAAAATTATATATGCAGCATTTTCAACCTATTCAATGCTAATTTCGAATTCTTGATTTAATGGTTGATAAGAACAGAACGGAATCTAGGGCATTGTTATCTTCGTCTATATCTGGTGCATAAATTCTACCAATTTCAATAATTTGTAGAAAAACAAAATTATACTTCTCGAGTTTTATGGTAACTGTTGTGAATAAAAAAACAATAGTGCGAAAATTCCACATTATAAGAGGGAAATTGTATCATCCTCTTACATGCTGCATATGTCAACTATCAGTATAACAATACAAGCAACAAAAATATTGGAAGAAAAAGTGTTTACTTATTTTTAAAGCTAGCGTTCTCCACATCATTTCCTACTACAGAAAATAGTTTCTACAATAATCTTATATTCTTTGAAGTAAATAAAGTCCTAGTTCTTTCAAGAAGATGTAATACCTCTGGTGTAACATTAATATCTAGGTCAGTTGGATCAAATATGAACGATTCATCAACAGAATAAACCAAAACTCCCTCAGTTGTTGCTGCAACAAAACTCCGCCCTGTTGGCGCAATTCTCAGGCATTTTGTCTGAATAACAGGCCTTCCACGATTAGGCATAGATCCTGGCAAGTCTAACCCTATTTTCCCTCGTGTTTGTTTGTCAACACCTTCTTCAATGTCACTATTGTCATCATCGATCAAATCTAGTGGGCCAGCTTGTGTCATATTCTTTGAGTTTAAAATGTCAAGCACTCCATCTAATGAGAGATTGAGAGTTATCTGGAAACGTCGAAGCAACACCTGTACAGAAGAAATTTGAATTAATAAACAGAACTATACTATGATATGTAAAAATGTAGGACAGAACAGTCCATTTTAAATATGCATCCACATTGAACACCTCATAATGAACAATATAGACACACAAAGGATCTTCTAAGAGAAAAGAGATTTCAGAGAATAAATAAAACTAAAAGCCTTACTCAATCTTTACATAACATAGATGGTTTTTCCCATAAAGAAGCATTAGACATAAGAACATAGACCAGTCAAAGCAAGCTTATGGGTATGGACTAACACAACATCCTTAAAGATGCACACATTTAGCTCTAGGCAGGTACACCACATAATAGCAAAGACAGCACATTGTCAGAGCCTTGGCCTCTGTATTCAGCAAAGCCAAATCCTTCAAATTGAAACATCAAACGTTGCTTCAGAATAAATGGCACACCTAATGGCTAATGCACATACTTTTTTAACAGCAGCTCCAAAGAAGATGACAACTTGCAATACCGAAATACGAAATGTTTGATGTTTGTTTTGTGCCACTTCTGAACTTAAATTGTAGATGACACACACATGAGGAAGGGCAGTGTCTAGAAAGCTCATATATGACAAAATTCTGAAAACAATGGACATAGAACAGAACATGGCACAGCCAAAATACGTTGTATAAAACTGTAAAATTAACTTGTTTTGATAATAGAACCACATAAGTTGAACATAAACTTAAGCATGGCATTAGACTACGCCAAAAATCTTAATATGAGATTACATATAATTTCAAAATTCAAGATTTGCAGGCTGCAAATGAAAATTAACATGTAAATCCAAATTAAAATACAAAAATACGAAAGTGAAAAGTTCAAACAATCAAAATTATCAGCAACCAGAAATATTGTTCGAACTAAAGTGTACAGCACATTGTTTCTTACGAGGCACGAGAAACACCGGAGAATTTTGGGTATTGTCACCAAGAATGAGATTGCAAAAATGTTATAATTCTTGTCACACAGGGATAATGCTTGGGGGAAGGCTCAAAAACAGGGACTAATGCGAATGGAAGCTTGTGAGCTAAGAGGGAATTGCAAGAAAGGTTACAACAGAGCATGAACTGGGAAAGAGACTATCAGGCAGAGGATAAGACAAAATTGTCTTCCTTTGGTCACCCAAAGACTGGGTCAAGCTACAAAAAAAATGAGGGGGAAATGCTAATGGTTGTTTCAAAGGACCCACAACTGGAAGATCAGGAGACCCAGAACTATTAGATGCCTGTGTGACTGTGCCCATTACTGTTTGAAGTAAAATCAAAGCAAAGTCCACCACCAGCGGTGTCACAGTTGTTTGCCATCTGATAATTGAATAAAAAACTAACATTACCAGGATATGTTTCTGATTCTGACATTAATATAGCTGCAGTGAGGTTGGGAAATCCTTTATAGCATCCCAAAATTTTCAGAATAAATTAATAAGGGTTTTTTCTTTAAAACAAATAATTATCTAATCAAAATAGATAAAATTTAGGTGCTGGGTAATTGAGAATATTTTATTTTCTAATCCAAAAAGGAATATTTTGAAATTAACTAATTAATTGGACACTTAAGTGTTATTGATAAGACTTTGGAGATATAAGTTTCTCCTAGTGTAGAGTGTTGTGATGGCTTAACCAAGTACAATCTCATAGGCAGACTTCAGGCAAGGATAAAGTGATTTAACTGGCGACACATTCCTATAATTTACTAGATTTTTGTCCTTGCATGAGCATAGTATACTTATTGTGTTTGAATTATGAAATTGATACACATTGAGATGTGATGCATGATAATTCTATAGAATGTGACTTGATAAATATTGTCTTGATTACTATAGGCTTTGGATGGGATAATTGGTGATAAATCATATGTATGTTCAACATTATGTTTATTGTATGTGTGGCTACCCAACCATTTCATACATAGTAGCCATAGTGAGATGTTTCTCACTCATATTTTCTTTTGTTGTGCATGTGCATGTGAATTTAATTATGAAAGAGTTTAAGTTTTATGATGGGAATGCTTTATAGGATCTGAATCAGGACATTAATTAGGGATTGTTTTCCATTGTTATTGTATTAGGAACTTAATTTCTTTCCTTAGAAGACGTTTTAGCATTAGTTAATATTCTTTGTAATTGCTTTTAATTTTAGTCTTGTTATTTGGAGATTTGAATATGATACATTTATCCTTAGTTTTCCGTTCAATTAATGAAGTTTTTTAGACTTTTTTTTTATATTATTAAATTTATACATGTGAGGTAGAGAGTGTCACACCTTTTGCGATAACCAAGTTAAGAACTGCCATCTAAAAACAGACTAAACCTATAAAGAAGCTTTGAATTTTCAGATAGATTTGTCAAGGAGAAAACTTGAATAGTGTTTGAGTAAGAAACTAAATGAGGGATTTACAAGAGGACAAGACAGAATAATAGACACAAGTGGAAGCAAAAAGGATTTTAACTGATTTGCCTCAATTTAATGAGAAACCTAGGTATCAAACAAATTAATAATGGGGAGTTATGCAAGGTAGAAAGATTATAACAAGAAAAGGTCCCCAACAAGATAATACTTTTTCATATGTCCTATAGCTGACCAATTGACTCCTCATCATCTATTCTTTGTCTTGAACGCTATGATTTGGAATAGAAAAACATGAGAAGATAGAGAGGAATACTTGAGAAGATTGACATAAGGAATAGGCACCCCTCCAATTACACTGGCTATGGAGATCTTATTGATGATTGGATCCTAGAAAGAAGTCTAGAGAAGACAAAGCGGTTCAACAGCAGAAATGCCGTAATGAAAACTACAAAACAAGCAAAACAAGTCTGCAAAAGAATTAATGTAGTGCAAATGCCTGGTCACAGCTCAAGGAGAAAGAGGTGTATCCATGTATAGTAACAAATTGCCAAAAAGGACAAAAGTTTTCAGCAATCATGGATTTTAGTAAATATCACACAAGTGAACCAATTTTTGAGCTAATCAGTTCACTACAAGAGTGTATCAACTTTTTGAGCTCATTAGCCTCTCATTATTTCTGTATTCATTTAAATTAAGGGATGATGAGGCTCAAAAGTCTTCACTCAGCAGCACCTAAGCTACATGACAACACAAAGGAATTCTCAGTAGGGAAGGAGCAAAAAGATATGCATCTCAAATTTTCAACCTATTCCTAAAGGGCATCTTGCAAGTTGCAATAGTACATACTGAGCCCCATGCAGCATTTAAGACTTGCTATGATAAAGAAGAAGCCATTAACATTATATATCAATGTGAATGTATATCATTATAATACAAATGATTGCAAAAATATTTTATGCTCTTTTCATGTTTATGAATTATCTAAATATAAAATATAATTTTAGTCCCACAAAATATGGGGTTATATTTTTTTGGTTCCTCAAATTTAAAACTTGAGTTTTTAGTCATGTAATTAAAAGAAAAAAATTTGTTTTACTCCTCTATATATTTTTTTTGTCTCTCAAATTTAAAAATTTGTATTTTTAGTCCTTAAATATCAAAAATTATTATTTTAGTCCCTCTACTCAGTTATGTTATTAGTAGCCCTCAGGAACTAAGATAGTCTTTTTTTGAAATTACAGAGACTAAAAAGATAAATTTTAAATTTAAAGGATAAAAATAATATTCTTTGATATTTTGGAACTAAAAACACAAGTTTTAAATTTAGGGGACCAAAAGAGTATATACCCAAAATTTGGAAGACTAAAAACATAATAAAGTCATTATCTAATTACCCCACATCCAAAACAAAACCACTTAACCTATAACATGTTGGACTCAACCAAAGAGCAAAAACTCAGGATTTGCTGTGAATCAATATAGAAGCATTCTAGAGGATAAAATTTTCAGAAATCGATTAACAGTTGATATGCTGTGACTTCTAAATAAGTGAAAATCAACCACAGTGCAAGCACGCCAACCTGATCTGCAACATCATACATGCAGATGTATCTGCTACTTCCTCCAGCTAATATGTAGCTTCCATCAGCTGAATAACACAAGGTTGTGAAGAACTTCCCTGAAGTTGAGTTAGCAGCTGATCTACGGTCAGTCATAAGACGCCCACCAGCAATATCTCTAGAACCTTCTATGGTGTACATCAGCAAACCCTCTATTGGGTCCCAAAAATGAATTTGCCCATCTAATGTGCTGCAAGCTATCTGCCTTCCATCTGGACGATAAGCTACTGTAAGAACATCATGCGTGTGAGGAAAGGTTTCAACTGCTCCTTTTCCATCAAAGACATCCCACAACCGAACAGTTTTGTCAAATGATGATGAAGCCAAGACAGCCTGCAAAAAATGAAAGGGGATGATGCTAAGATTTTTCTGTTATAGCAAATGTAAAAACCATAAAAGAAAAAATACAAACTTTAGTAGTTCCCTTCATAATCATATCTCATGAGACAATAGTATTTAAGTTTGATAATACTATAGGCTTAGAAAATAATATTATTTTATAAATTGCACACAATGAACCATGGCTTCACAGATATTTCTGGTACAGATGTAAGTACTGTAGCAGCTAGCAACAGAAAATTGGAAGCAACTAAAAGTACCATAGAAGATATTACGTTAACTTATGCAAGCAGGCAAATATTGGTGGTATAAAATATTTTTAAAATATAACTTACATTTGTAGGAGAAAACATCAGCGCATGAACAGGAGCTTCATGGCCACTAAGCACATCCAATAACCGACCCGTTCTCATTGACCAAACAAAAATCTGTTACACATTTCATTAAACAAAAAGGGTGAATGGTAAAATAAAATAATGACATAGTCAGAAACAACCTAATTTGTGTGAAATTATACCTCAAAGGAATCTTTAGTGCCAGCACATATCACTTCACCACTTTGATCAGCTGTCAGAGAAACAAACTGCCTTGAAGAAGGGGTTGTAAATGTCCTAAAATTCCGGTAACGTAATAAATCCCATGCTCGAATGGTCCCATCAAGTGATGCACTAAGCAGGCAATTGTTACTTGCCATAAAATGTAGAGCCGTAACAGCATTTGTATGCTCAGAAAATGTAACAAAGCAAAAGCCCGAGGAAAGAGTCCACACCTGTAACACACAAGAACAAAAATTCACTCATGAACATTCAATTTCCAATCCAAGCCCCAGTCCAATACACATTATCAGAGGCGCAACACAAAGCACTCAGTCAAAGATGGATCAATTTTCAAACCAGAAACACATGCCAAATTCATTCACCTTCACTTTATTATCATCTGCTCCAGTAGCAAGGAGTTGCGAGTCTGCCGAATATGCAACACAGTTCACATCAAAGTAATGACCCTGCTGCTTCAAAATGTAGCTCTCGGACCTCCACTCCCACACCAGAAGCTGCCCCAGTTTGGCACAGCCAAAAGTCAACCAGTTCCCAAGCTCATTAAACACCGCAGTGGTAATCTTCTCCCTCGATATAGACAACAAATGAATGCACACAAAATCCGGCATCTGATACAAACCAAACAGGCCATTAGAAAATCCAACAACCACCATATCCAGCCCTCTATGATAATCACACGCCGTCACCTTCGCCGATCCCTGCATAAAACCATCCTTCCTCAATAACTCCCACTTCCCTCTACTCAAATAACCCTCATCACCATCCTCAACATCAATTTTCTTCCTCTTCCTCACACCATCATTCTCACTAATCTCCAAATTCCCATCCACATCCCTCTCCGGCGTACCCGGAGACGGAGGCTCGGAACCCTCACCATCACCCTCACCCTCACCATCAAAACTAAAACCCCAGCTAAACAAATAACAATCCCTAGTAACGGTATAAGCCTTACAAACCCTATTATCATTCGAATTGACACCGAAGAACGACCCTACAACAGAATCCCTATGCCCTAGGAGCATAAAAGGCCTCTTCTTAACACCCCTATTCAGTTTCTTCAAACACAAGATTCTCGCGGTTAGGTCCTTGGACCCGACGAGTAGGTACTTCGAGTCGGGGCTCCAATCAATGGCGGTGACCTTCGCGTCGAAGTCGGCGAAGGTCTGAACCAGCTCGAAGGGGAAATACTCACGGCGGAACGCCGGCGAGCGCCAGATCTGGACGAACTTGCCGGCGGCGACGGCGATGAGGGCGCCGTCGGGGCTGAACTCGACGGCGGCGACGCGGTGCTTGAAGGTAATGCGGTGGAGGAGGATGCGGCGGCGAAGGTTGATGAAGAGGCAGCGGTTGCGGTCGTCGACGGCGAGGAGGAAGGTGGCGTCGGGGGAGACGGCGATGCGGGTGACGTTGGAGGAGGATTGGATGGGGAGCGTGGAGGTTTGGGACTTGAGGAGGTCGGTGACGGCGACGCGGTTACCAATGGGGGAGAGTAGCAGGGTGTTGTTGGAAATGACCGCGTTGCCCCCTCGGTAGGGGACTCCGAGGAGGTTGTGGAACCTGAAGTTCATCGCTTTGGGGAAGTGTTGGGGAAGTGAAACGGGTGCGTTGCCTGCATGAACTGGTACAGTGGCGGGAATGGGGGTTTATGAGTTTAGGGTTTTAGGGATTCTCTGTTGTTTGTTGTTGTTAAAGACGAATCCAAACGGTAGCGTTTTGGTGTATAAAGAAGAACAAAAATAATAAAAGAGTAAATAATCACTTGGAAGGATTTTTTTTTTTTTTTTGTAAAGATAGGAAAATTTAGAAGGATGGTCCTAGGTTCTCATGTTTCTAACTACCATTACCCCTCCCCACCCAACTACTAGGCTAACCCTAATAGTTAAAGGATTAATCACATAGATAGTTTGTTATTTTTTTCTTAAAAAGTATTTTTTTAATGAAATAAACAATTTTATCTTTTCTTATTATAGTTATAGTGTTTGCCAGAGATGCTTATTTTAAAATTAAGTTTTTCTTTTTCATTATACAAGAAGTATTTTTAAGTACTTTTCAAAGAGAAAAAAGTTACACCAAAAAGTGTAAAAAAAATTTATACCACTAAATAATATTGTATATGATAAGTTTGTTAATTTTTATAATAATTATTTTAAAAATCACACTAATAATAATTTTTATTGGTTAATAATATCAATTTTTTTATTTTAATAATGTATTATTGTTAAATTCTTTTTATTTATAATATATCTCTTTCTTAAAGTAATATTTTTTAAAAAAATATTTTTTTATAATTATTATTTTTAACCCTCAAACTATTATAATGAGAAATGAATAAATATATTTTCTCTTTAAACTTTTCTTAATTTTAATCTCTAAAATAAAATTCATAAACAAAATAAATATTGATGATAGAGATAAAAAATGTTAACAAGAAAAAAATGTTATGAACTAAAATTAGTAAAAAAAATTGTTTAGATAATAAAAATATTGTATTTTTAAACATGAAAATTTTAACATGAAGTACCAAATCATGTGGTATACTAATGAAGCATTAGAATATATCATTTGATAATTAATTTAATATTCAGTGGATAAGATTCATTACCAACAACTTAGAGCTAGAATTTTTATATTTTGCAATGTAGTCCTAGTATAAAAACCAAAATTGAGTTTCAATTAATTAATACTTTGTCCGTTGAAAATTCCAAATGAGTGGCAATTAAGTTCATCTCATGTTTGAAGTGGGAATGTACTAGAGTTGTTAAAGTGGGTTTTGATCCGTGGGTCAATCTAGCCCACCTTAAAAACGGGTCAAATCGGGTAAAAAATTGTAAAAAAAATCATAATGGGTCAAAAAGTGTGACTCAGCCCACTTTCGACCCGATTCACCTGGACTGAACCCGTGGAGGACCGGGCTGCCCACCTGACCCACTTACATCCCATCAACCCAACTCATTAATAACCCACTTAACCATTTATTATTATATATGTATTATTTTAACAATATACCATTGTCTTTTGTAGATAAAGATAAAGTCAATGTTAAACAACGTGAAATTATTATAAATTTATCTACTAAAGCCTCCAATGAAATTTAATATTGATGAATAATCACTCTCATGAAAGAATTTTTATTTTATTTTTTTGGTTATTTAAGGTTGTGCACTTTTTAACTTAAGTTTAATGTTGCATACATGATATTTGGTTTGACAATTTTTATTTTAAATCATAGATTATTATAGATTGAAATTTATTTTAAATAATAATTTAAAAAAAAACTTAGGTGGGTTGGTGGACCGACCCATTTAACCCACCAATCCGTAGTGGGCCAAGCTAGGTTAGAAAATTTTGGAGTTTAGAATTGGTGGGCCGAGCCGCGTCAACCCACTTAAAAAGTGAGTTGAGGCAGACCGGGCCAAACGAGCCAGATTGACTTGTTTTGACAACTCTAAAATGTACCATCAATCCTAAAAATATGTTGTTGCAATTTGATCTTGAAGTTTAAAAATTTGTATCACTTTAACACTTGCACAAATTCCATCATCCATAATTCCATGACTCTCAATGCTACACACATTTGGGACTTTGTCGTCTGCTTGTTCTCACTATTCCAACATGTGTTGTGTTTGGAGAATGTTGTTTTCCACTTTATCACCACCATACACTACTAGTTGAAGCTCCACCGCATCATCGCCACTATGTTCTTATACCTAACCTTCTAGCTCTACTACTTCAATGCAAACTTGATGCATAACAAGACCTAGTAGCTGACCCATCGCATGCTTGGTCGATCACTAAACTCGCGCAGATGTATTGACCTCTCTGTGACGACTTTTTAGTAAATCACCAAATTCAACTCCCATAATGAAAAATTTGTATTTAATTTTTATGAGGAGCCATTTTACAAATACTAACAAGTTGCACAACCTACTACTACCGGTCAAAATCAACCTTCACTAATGTAGCATGAAGTCATATACTTCTTCATAGAAGCATTCTTTTAAACATGTATTAAACATAAGTCCTTTATGACAATATGGTTCACAGTAAATTTATTCATTAACATTAAATGGTCACGTTTCATCACTTGTAACCTTTGCTACAAGCTTCACCAAATTCCACCAAGAAATTCAAGTATGTCACTTACTCTTATGTTATTTATATATAAAACAATGAGACAAAATCAAAATTAATTTAACAAACAAGTTAGTGTACATAATCTTTAAGAAGGTACAATGTTATGCAATGCTAATTAATCATCCTTTGCTTAACTTATATGGGTACTTTGCTAGGAATTATAATCTAAGAAAGTTCAAGAATACGATAAAAAAAACTTTTAACTAAATGATTGTAAGTTCAAAAGTATAACAAGTCATCAAATTCAAAAATACATCATTCTTATGTATTGCACACATCTATTGTTCCACCAACTAAACACCACCTATTAATTAAAGTGGTGAAAAAACCACATCGGAGCTATGCCCACAATTCTTCATGTTTGAAAATACTATGAGCATAATTACACACATTAAGATACATGATAAAGAGAATAATACAAGAAAAAATGTTCAAATTATTGGGCAACTTTTTGTTTTGTACATTATTTAATAAATAATGAACACCACAAAAAAATGTTAAATCAATTAAAATATTATTTTAAATGTTAATTATCATAATAATTTATTACTATCTTAATGAGAACAATGGTGATAGACAACAATAGTAACAAGTGATGACAATGGTGGGTGACAACAACAACAACAACAATAGTGATAAGAACAAGATGGTGACAACTAATAGAGGCAATGGTGGTGAGTGACATGGTGGTTGGCAACAATGGTCACAGGTAGCAATGATGGTGGTGTTGGGCAACGATAATAAGGTTTGGGGTTGTGTTGATATAACACCATGGTAGTGAATAACAAAAAACTTGTCTAGTGATTTTCTTAGTAACAAAAGCTTGGACTTTTATCCGGTCCTTCTTCGCCTTTTTTTATCCTATCTCATGACCCTTTTGTAAACCAAACACGAAACAATTATATTTGTCCTATCTAATGTTATAATTTTGAGCGAATCAAATAGAACTTGTGTGTGTAGGGCAAGGTTAATGAACACTACAAAAATGACTCATCAAAGAGTTGTAGTTGACTAAAAAGGGAAAGAAATTTTGCTTAACAACAATTGAAAATTAAAGGAAACTTTGCACGATGTGAGGAACTAAAAAAGATGAAGGTAATTGAAACCCTCGTAGAGTTAAGTGTATAGCGATATGGGTGAGAAATCATGACAAGTTAAAGAATATTAAATAAAACCCTAATAGACTTAAGTCTGGAGTGAAATTAGGAACAAGTTAAAGTGCAAAGACTTTCAAACTAAAAGTCCAAAAGGAAAAAACAATTACAAACAAAAGAAAATGACTTTGAAACTTAACATCGTGGACATGGATAAACTAATTAATGTTATTAGCTTTTTTTTTTTTTGTAAATACGTGGACTAACAACAAAAAAATTAAGTGAGAGTGAAATAGTATCACTATGTGTAAGTGAAAACATTAACATGAAAGTGAAAGCAAAATAATCAAGGTGAGAAGGTGAAAAAATAATATTAATAGGAGAAAGTTTCACCATTAATGGTTGTCTCTGAAGTCAAATGAAGGGAAAACCTTCAATAATTTTTTGACTTTCGTGTGCTTTATTCAACCCTAGTTAAATAATTGTAGTTGGAAACACCTTTTTTCATATTGGATCAATAATCAATACATGAGTCATCTATTAAGATTTTCACTTGTGTAAATTTCACAAGAATCATGTGATTTCTTTGCCTTGTTTCATTTGCAAGTTCTTAAGAATTTTTTTTAATGGTTATCTTGTAGCAAGTTTTTGTAAGATATAAAAGTGTTATCAAGTGTTTTCAAAAAGCTGAGTTTATATGTTTGTTAATTATATGTTTGTAAAAGAAAAAATTGTTGATGGTGAAAATTCTCAACCAATTTGGTTGGAGATTAGATGTAAAGTACAATGATATGGTTTTACAAAAATATATTCTTTTTTACTCTTCTCTTTATCTCTCTAAACTACATTTTTAGCATAATATTAAACACCACTATACACGAGACATTATATGTCAAATATTTTTTATATATGGGTTTGAACATGATATAAATCCTGACGACATAGAATGTCCACACATTCTATGACGAGTCAACAAACAATATAAAAAGTTTACTTTTTATTTCGGTTGATTAATGTTTGTCATAATATGAGTACTAAATGTAATAATTTAATTATATTGACACCCACATTTTATAATGGGTGTAACTACATGTGACATGGAAAATGCACCTTTCATATCAAGTGTGATCACAATCGTCATAAAATGTGGGTGCCAATGTGTTAGAATACGTAACATTCTATGACAGGTATTGTCACATCGTCATAAAATGTGTTTTTTTTATATCTTATTTGATTTTTTTTGAAATTTTCCAAATTGCACAACAAAAATACATTTCAAGTAGTTCAATACATCATATTGTTGTCTAGTCTAATACAAAATTATATAAAATACAATATATATCATTTAAATTAAAATAATATACAAAGTAAGTTGTCATTAATGTTAATAACAATAAAGCTAAAGTTAACAATAAATGTCTCTAATTAATAATAACAATCAACAATTATTATAA